CTATGCAATAAATTTTCTATTATAATCGTTAATAAAATTGGCATTTTGCGTCTATTTATCTTATGCTTTCCTTCTAATTGAAAAAAATACCAAAAATATTATTTAATTTATGAGAAAAATATAATAACTTTTGCCAGCAGCTTTACTCACGTAAATTATAATTTACGTGTGATTTGCTCCTCACCAAATATCGGTGGCAGCATGATATTAGATAGACTAAAGCTTCTTTACATAGTATAAAATAAAGTCGCTCCGCTGTCTGTTCGCTTAGACTTTTTAAACTACTTAACGGATTTTAATGCAGTTTGCAGTAATAGATAGAGCGATTCAAGAGGAAGGTTTATATGTATACAGTATAATACACGCATATTATAGTACAGAAAAGCCGAGAAATTCAAAGATTTATGTTTCATACTAACCGTTAAAACGTACCTAGGGACGAACCCCAGCGAAAAAAGGGTGAGTCGCCTAATCTTCAGTAAACAGGCTTTAAAATGCAAAAATGAAATTTTTAATCTGACTGATAGCTCCAGAGATTAGGGCGTTAAAAAAATTAAAAAAATATATCTTTTCAACATTACCATATTAATAAAGACAGACTTAACTGCCTCGGTGGTGTAGTGGCTAGCATGTACGGCTGCACACCCGGAGGTCCTGGGTTCGAGTCCCGGGTCGGGTCAAGTTTAGTTATTGAGTATTTCTGTAAAGTAAGCCTGTAAGCCTGGAGTTGGGAAGTTGGCGGTGTTTCACCCCCGTGCCTCGGAGAGCACGTAAAGCCGTCGGTCCTGCGCCTTAAGTCTCACCGGTCGTGTCGAGCAGTCGTCCCACCGGAATATGAGAGTAACAAGAAGAGAGAGTGCACCTATGTCTGCGCGTACACTTGTGCACTATAATATCTGCTGCGCAGTTGGCTAGTCTCAACGAGATTGGCCGCTGTGGCCGGAATCGGTCAGGAGAACATCATCATCATCAATAAAGACAGACAGATCTATCGATCTTCAAAATACTCAATTCATAGCTCCCTTCCCCAAGTGATTCCCCGAGCATTAACAATTACATGTCAATGTCAATTTACACGGTTGTCATTGACATACAGATTTAATTTACATACAACTGAATTGCATTTCATAAAATGTATATGTATAACATTTTTATTGAGATATAGGTACATTTCCTATCAGATCAATACGTCTTTGAGTAAATCTTCTTACCTAGTTACACCTTACATAATTACAAGACATGTATTGATAAATGAATTGCTGCATTTCCCATTTATGCAATTGTTGTGACACTCGGTTATGCAACTTTGACATTTGAATAAGCATTATTTGCAGCGAGGCGGTCACGAAAACTTAGCTCATAGCGAGTCTAGAGCGCTATTTGGGTATGCTGGATGAAACCTGTGTTGATGCAATGGCGAAATAAAAGCATTATCCTGATTAATGTCATAATTTTTTTTTTTGCTTTGCCCTTTTCGTTGTCGTTCTGCAATAATGCAACAATAGATGATGTGATTTTTTGAATAGTCAGATAGCGTACCTACTTGCTATAATCAAGTGGTTTCCTTGGGATGAGACTAGTTCTACGAGATGGCTCCGACATGGTCGAAAAGACAATGCGTAGAACCGTAGACCGTAGTTCACGTGACATGGGAATTACAAGACACGATATATTTTCTCGTCAGAAAACTCCAGTACTTATTTTCGGTCTTTTCTTTGATGTCACTGGGGACCCATTATGGAATTCCTGCTATCCATCAACGGACAGGAGATTGTGAGACTCACATTACCCCAATATAAATCCCATATTTTCGGCCTGACCTAATATTCGAATCTATGACCTCAAGATTTAGCTGAATACAATCAACGCCACTGCTCAATGAGGCAGACAGTCTTAAAAAACATTACAGTACTGGTAATAAAGTATATGCTCACAATAGGTAGGCGTTGTATCGCGTGTGAACATTCGCATGTAAAATAACTATTTTTACATAGAAAACCATATATTTCACGTGAACACGTCTGCAGAATGTCGATCGTAAAGCTATTAATTTATGATTAAGTACGCTTCGATTAATTCTTTGCTACGCGTTCGAGTCTCTCTCAACGCGACCCAATTAACTTAGCTCATACTAATCTCATTCTATCGTTTTCATGCTACCACTTATAGCGAGAAATAAGATAGTCTCTAACGATCTCTGCATGTCCGATATACCTGCTATGAAAACAATACGCGAACTAAAAATACTAAATAATATAACATGTACATATATTAAATACATATTATACAATCAAGTAGTAAGACACAAGTGAATGGTCTCACTGAAAAATGGAGTCGCAATTTTCATGTCACAGTCCCCAAAGGTTTTTTTTAATGATTAATAACAAGCTAAAACTTCACGAATTCAATACGAAGTTCGTATTGACGAGACGCTCAACTTTTCTTTCTACCTCTATTGTGCTTATTATCCTCTGTGTGTCGCGCGTCTAGGGCAGCCGGTTAGAATAGTAAAGAATATTATGATACGTTAGAAATACTTGAGCGAGTCAGATCAAGGTGTAGTGGACTAATTACATGCTGAAAATTGTGCATTTCAATAATTTACCGATTTTTACGGGCCGAAAAAACAAAAATCGTAAAGCTCAGAGCAGCTGCAGTTAAGCACTTATTCTCCACTCCGCGCTTCTCTTTCTTTCACTCTTTCTCTATCTCTCACGCTCTTGCACCATTCCCACACTACATACTTTTCGTCACCATGACGACATCACAGAAAGAAATCATAAAAAAAATAATTAAACCGTCGTATTAAGTCCCTCCAAATAATCGTTAGATTATGGGCCAGCACTATTAGGACGCTCTGACGGTCTTGAGTATTTCAAATTAGTAGCTCTTTCAATATTTCAGCTCATCTATTTCAATATATTGCAGTTTTATTTAAAGAAACAACAAACAGAGTGTATTATTTTGCAATATTTTAAGTATTTTTGTTACGATTTTATTACCGATTACGCGGAGATTACAGCCGTTATGTTATTGTATATCAGTATAATTGCTGCAACGCAATAGTTACGACTTCGTTATTAAGTCATAGCACGTGTACATTTGTTGAACATCGCTTACCGTTAAGTGGGCTTATAATTCATAGATTTTAGGTGTTAGCGGTAGTTTTATAACTTTGTAATGTATCTTGATTATGATTTTTTCTTGGTGGAAAATCCAACCTTGAACGGTTGTAGCCTAGTTGTGCCTCTACATTACATAAAATAGTAAAATAGATTTTACTATATATATATATACACACACACATAAGTAATAACTAATTTCATGAGACAATTTGTTTACAGAATAGTTAATTTAAATAATTCTAAGTACATATACGGCTACTAAACGCTTTTCACTACGCGCTCTATCTGCAAAATCTGTATACAATCTATGTAACATATAATAAAATCTATATAAGATATAAAAAAATCGATAAATCGAAAATATTCTTATGTCAACACAATAATTCGAAATTGATTATTGAGAATATTCCAATACACAAATTAATTTCTCACATTCACATTTGTATGTAGTTTAAATAAAAATTACAATTAGGACTTACAATGTCGTTCCTTGCAGGTCGATTCTATATGATATATCGACCATTGACCATTGATCGAAAACGTAATGCAAGAGGATTTCTTATTTCTTTATCTTATATCATTACATACTTCAAAACAAAACCGTAAACAAATCAGCTTCACATTACTTAGATGGTATTAAGTTTTTACCGGTTAATATCCATCGTGCCTTCTACATTGTAAATCAAGTTCAAGTATATTTTCCTCAAATAGCACAGCTCTAAGTTTAATATATAATTTAATTGAAATGGCAAAGCCATATTTATATCGTTAAAACAAACAATCACCTTGTGAAATCGAGCTCGCGACCTCCAGCACAGTATACGATTCCAGTTGACATATCCACAACCACAAGCTTTACGTTTCCACAACGTTTACGTTAGAGAAAATAAATTTAAATAATCAAGAAATCGACCCAACAGCCATTTAGATACTCTAGCAAACTAAGATTATATATATGTTACTCTATATATTTGTATACAATATACTACAAAAAGCTATATTATGTAAATCTCTTGTATGTATTCGTAACCTACACATAGGTTTTAAAAAATATTTAAATTGAACTGTTATTACAAAGTTAACAATTTTTTTATCTCTCAATAATGCCTGTAATCGCAGAAAATATACCCTAATATAGGTATATTATCTGTTTATCTTATGTCAATGTAAACTATATAAAAACAAACATACAAACAATTATTAATAAATAATAATAAGTATAAAAATATTTAAAATAAATAAGTAAAAATTGAATTACAACATGTTTAAATATTCAACAAAAAGATTAAAAATTCTATTAGTAAATATGACGTTATCTGACATTGGCTAATCTAAATGATTTATTATATAGGAAACATACGAATGCTACTCATTAGATAAGTTCTGGACTTGGATATCTGATACTACTGGAAATAAATCGTTACGATGATTTATTGAAAAATATTTCTAGACGCTGCACTATTAATATGCCTTTCCTTTAAACATTGACATATCTATTGGCTCTGTAGTCTGTGGTAGTGACTGAGTGCTACTTACTTTAAAATGAGGTCGATTGAATAGATATAGTGTAGAGAAAAGTATGTAATTTTGTATTTTTGAATCAGAAGTATATACTGTGTAACGTGTATATAATAAGCACATAATAAATAATTGTATTTTGATACCAGAATACAAAGGCACAAGACAACCTGTTATAATTTTCAAAGATTTGAAAATATATTAATTACTAATGAATGCTTCAAAATACATTCACTTATATTAAAAAAAAAACGAAATAAATATACTTGTAATATTCCTTTACAAAGCGTAACCTCCGAAAAAGACAAAAAAATAATAATTACACAGATAAAACATTATATAAAAAACTCGACTTACCAATTTTGGCGCTGCTGAAGACGATGAGCGCGTGCGTGTCGTCCACCCACTTTATCTCGAAGCCAGTGTCCTTATATTCACTGAACAGCGACAACAGATCGTTCGTCTTAAACTCACTCGGGAAATCGTACACTTCCACCACATGACCGAAGGTTTCGTCGTAGGGACCGTTGAACAACGCCTGTCCCCTGGTCTGGTACTGGTCGTAGTTATTCTTCGTCTTACTTATATGCACTTTGCCTACAGTCGAGGTCAGCTCTTCTAATAGAGACGGGTCCAGACACTCGCCACTGTCGTCGAAAACTGCATCCCAATCGTTTTCTTCCCTTTTTAAGGAAACCTTCGCTTCTAATTTTGGTTTCGTTTTTTTAATCTCCTGTTCTTTTTCTTTCTCCTCAACAACTGGCTCATTTTGGCTTATTTTCTTAAGACTAGGATCTTCTTCTATCGGATCGGATATGACTAAGACATCAGAATTGAAACTCTGTTTTATGATTCTCTTACTACTTCTATTTATCTCTTGTGACGCTCGTTTTAGCTCATTCTCTTCGACATCCTCGTCTTTGTTATATAAATAATCCTTATCTATAATATTGCTTTGAGTTTCTTGTACGGCCATGTTCATTTCGTTAGTGTCATTTGTCCTCCAGTCGTCGTAGTTTGCCGCGGTATACTCGTAGTAATTGGGCCTATAGAACCCGAGCTGTCCGTTCGCAAAATAATCTCCTATATAAAAATTCTCTGTTACTTCTACGTCGTTAAAACTATTATCACTATTTGATATTGCACTATCACTATTTGGCACTGAAGGCACAGGTTTGCTGGCGTCGCTGGCTGCCGGTTGAGATCGCTGAGTCCTCAGGTGCGGGGGCGTGTACACGTTGCAGAAGTGTTTGTCTAGAGATCGTTTTGGTGTGCCATGTGCCGATTTGTCCCTGGGCTCTTTGATTTGATCGGGGGACTTCGGGCACTTTGCATCTGGATTAGCCTTTTTATCTGGTGTCCGGTTTTCTTCCGTATTTTCGTTTGACCGTAGAGCTCGCGGTACGTAAACTGCACGGTCTGGCCGTCGGGGCTTGGTGGAGCCGGATCTGCGACAGATACAAAATAATTGAACAACGGAGTCGCTTCAAGCCGGTACTTACTTAACTAGCCTTGCGTAAGCAGAGATTACTTTATCGTCTAGCGTCGAGTGAATTCCGTAATTATTTCTATACAATGGGTAATAAGATTTTTGAGGCCAGTTTAAAATACTAAACTATGTACACATAGCCACTATACACTGTAATGTGGGTCTCTTTGTACCAGAATTCTGATATGTAACATAAGAGATACTTAAAGATATTAAGGCACTGATGTACATATATGGATTAATATACAGTATTTTTCTCCCAGTGGTCAAAATTAGACTATAATCATTTTTTTTATTGATTACAAAAAAAACGTTAATAGCTACTAAACAAAAAAAGAAAATCGGATGACAAACATAAGAGAAACGGTAATGAACTGTTTTGTGTTGCTTATTATATATAGAAGCTTCGTAAATCCATATAAGTGAGTTTTAAAAGTAAAAAGTCATAAAAATTTATGTTGGCTATTAAAAGTTAATCTTGTACCGAAGAACTATTTACGTTAATTCGTGTTATTAGGTACAATGTAACTGACCTTTAAAAATAAATTGAAACTCGTTATTATGTATCACTTCATATTCATTACTTTAATGCATTAAATTTAATGAATTTTAAAATAAAATGCATCGATGGAGAGAAGCCACGCAAGAAATCAATTAAATGACGACTGAAAATGTAAGTATTTATTTACCGCGACAAACCCGGCAGTGAGTGGGCCTGACGCATAAAAACAAGCTCTAGAATACAATCAATAAAATTATTAAGTTGTATATTACATGTACTATTGATAACTTATTGCAGGCGGAAACTGTACATTAAATGGGTTTAAAAGGATAAAAACAAAACACTGTAGTCGTTAAAATTAAAGAATATCCAGATCACGACAATATGTTCCAACTATAGCTAAGATCTACTCAGGTCATTCGCCATAAGTACACAAAAATTACATCAAAATCTGTTTCATCATCAAATTCATTTTGGAGAAGAATTACGAACACACGCACATCGAAATTTATTTATAAAGATAAAAAGGAGAAAATGACAGAGAAATCACTTAAAAAAAAGATTACACTTTGGACTACTGTTACATTAACGAAAATTTGTATGTATGTTTGTTACTTTTTCACGCTAGAACGGCTGGACGGATTTGGATGAAATTTACCATATAGATTGAAATCTGTCTATCCGTTAAGGAGCTATGATGCCACAGACAGACACACAGATACGATACACACGTCAAACTTATAATCGCTAGTCATAATCTAGAACAAAACAATTTCAACACATCAACAGCAGTATTATCTCACGATTGCAACAACTCCGCCGGGCGCTGCAGCGGCGAACTCCGCACGTAACACTAAGGAGGGCAAGGTCGCCAATACTCATAATACCCTCTCACTCGGCACACTTTCGACTCACTGCGTCGCGGCCATTCTAATGTTTGTTTTTGTATCGGCGATTTTTTCTGCTCCTTCATAGCTAAACGCTTAGCTTAATGTCATATAAATATTCATACATGTAGGTTTCCTGTTGATGTTTTCCTTCACCGTAATGCGAGTGATAATCATGTTAAAAAATGAGATTTAAACGCGCTTTACTAAGTTTTCCACCGATGTTTCAGTCTATTTTACTCATAAACTTCAGAACATACAGAATTACATATAAAAATTAAATAAGCAAAAATCAGAATTCGAACATTGCTTAGAAAAAAGACATTACCAGTTACCACATACAAATAAATATTCAAATTTTATTATTATGCATTGCTTAAGTCTACAGATATTCATAAAAACTATAAAACTACTATTGACACTCGATTTAGTGTTAATAACCATTACCCAGTTAGACTGGTCGATCATCTGCCAAAACGGCCAATTTGTTGGTTTTGAACACGTTTGTATCACTTCCGTTTCGCCCGAGCATCTGCACCGGCGGGTTCATTTACATCATTGATTTACATTCGTAATCGTTTATCGGGGTCAAATCATATCGCATCACAATTTTATATGTAATTTGTTTGTTGAGAATGTTCGCGAGGTATTTAAGTGGAAATATTTTTAATGCCTAGGAGTGTAACTTGGCAGTCTAAGTACATAGTTCTGTCTGAACGTATAAAATACAGTATTCCTTATGAGGATCGCAAGGTTGAGATCCATGGCGAGTTAGTTACTTATTTTATTTCCAAAGAGGGTTGATGCCAGGCAGGCGGTAGGTCGTAAAATTTTCGTCAAAACCAATCAGCAGTACGGAAGATGTACTGTGCCGACCCCAAGTAATTGGGAAATGGGAGATGATGATTTTTAATGCCTAGTAAATCTTAGTCTAATTTAAAAACATAATTAAGTTCTATTACAATAACTTTTGATTGTAATAATACGTGTGTGTTTTCGTAACTTTCCCAACTCCTACACGGCTTAATCGATTTACATTTTACAGATTTTGTTTTGTTTTCTTAGGGGTCAACTAAATGGTTCTTAGCTATACTTGGACTCGGTAGGTGGCGCAGCTGTCGAGATTAATTCCCCAATCAGGGTTTTTTTATATATTTTTTTATTTTTCGCACAAAAGAAATGTATAAGCCATTCGCACTTTTTTCAGCCTTCCTGTGTTCCTTTTAATATTTTTTCTAAATTTATAAATTAAATATAATTATTAGAGAGAAATATATTGATGCAATATATTATGTATTTTATAATGGCATGCCAACGTCTGCCTACCGGGTTCATCAGTAAAAAAAAATATGTCGATAAAAATGCTACCATTTCATTTATGAATATTGTTAATCGTATATAAACGAGAATCGGAACCGCGAACTTTGACAACTCATCGATTATTGTATATAATTAATAACAAAACGGCACATTACGACATAACCTCTCAGTCTAAGTACCTAGTTCTATCTGATGGTATTGAATACAATATTCCATATGGGGATCACGAGGATGAGCTTCATGGTGAGTTAGTTGTTTTATATGGAAGGTTTTCTTTTTAGACAACATTTATATACATAGTATGTTAGTTTATAGGGTCTAATAAGATTTGGTTTAGTAAAAATTAGGTCCAATAAAGATGTTAATACTAGCTCTAGCCTATGGCTGCGATCGCGTAGGTTTTTTTATTTTGCTTCTAAAGATCTTTGCGTCATATAGGGTAGATACTTTTAATCCTTATGAATAAAAATTGTAATAAATTTTGATTTTTCAAAAAAAAAGAGGGAAAAAACCAAGTTTTTATTTTAAAAATATTATAATATAAAATATATAAAAAACATCTAACAGCATAAAAATTATTAGCATAGATATGACAGATTCCAGACCGTACTGTTGAGTGGCTTTTATATATTTTTTTGTTTAAATCATTTTATGAATTTGGATCCAAACGAGTGCCTATGTTTATTGACTAGTCTTATTTAAACCAATCTAGAATCAAATCCGCGACTTCTAAAAACCTCTGGTAAGAAATACAAAAAGACGTTTTAACATTTTAAATTAAGCTGCAATAATATTTCGTATTGATTAACTAATTCGTACAAATTATAGGTCGGCTTAGAATAGATTTAAGTTAAACACATTTGAGACATCAAAGTAATTTGTATGTAAATTATAAATAAACATATAAGTAGTTTTAAGAAATAGATAAAACATGATTCATATTAAACACGTAAGTGATTAGCGTGGCCCAAAATGCGACTTTAAATAAAGGGCTGATTTATAAGATTTAAAATCTTAAACCTCTTCAACCCTTTCAAGGTTGTATAGATTACTCTTAGGTTCTTAGGGTTCACTTATCACTACTCATGTGTTAGGGATATGAAGGGAACATCGGATTTGAGAATTGTTGGCAGGCCTACAAAGCGGGTGGGCTGATGAGGATAAACAACTATCAGGAACTGAATGGTTGAAAAAGGATGAAGACCTGTGGAAAAGGTTACAGAAGGCTATTATCCAAATATGTCAGAACCAGAAATTTATAAATTCTGTGAAGTATATGTAAAATGAGAACTAATTCTACAAACCACACAATTTAGTATGGACGATTCCATAACTTAAGTTGCCCATATTAGGTAAATAGTAGGAAACTCGTTCTCGTTTCTGAATGCTATGGTTTCTTATGAATACGTTTGGCTCTGTTTGTAGTGACCCTACTGCTATGCCAGCGGTCGCGGTTCGAGTCCCACAGGGGGCATTCATTTGCGTGATGTGCACGAATGTTTGTACTTCAGTCATGGATGTTTATATGTATGTAATAAAAGTTATAGGTATACATGTAGTGTATCAACTATATGGTATCTATAGCACAAGCCTCGTAGCTTACCATGGAAATAGACGGTGCTGTGTGTTAATGTCCCAACATATTTATTTAAAGAGTAGCATGAAATTGTATTGAAATTTTTCCATCATTAAAATGAAAAATAAGAAACTGAGTGCTAAATAACACCCCATTAATCTAAATTCTAAAAGGTAATAGAGTGGATAAATATAATCATGTAAGTTTCAAACTTCGATCACGTCATTCGATCTCTGACCTCCTATTACCAAATCTTTTGGCTCATTAACTTACAGTTGAAAGGTCACACGGCTCACTGGTCACGATATATACTTTGTGTCATACAAATAGTTTGACAGCAATAATGTTATTACCTTTTCTCATTGGTGTTAAGATGGCAATTTCGTGTTTACTTTATCTTTATGAAGGTCGCACGTTCAAATCTAATTGGAACAAATCTTTAAATGTTTAATAATATTCAAGACCAGTTTGATTTTCCATATAAACTTTGATCCTCATTTTCACTCCCTTAAGGGATGATTTCCGGAATAAAAAATATTCTATGGCCTTCCCAGGGTGTCAAACTATCTTCTAAACAAATTTCATCTAAATCGGTCCAATAGTTTTTGGGTTTATTCATTAGGAACTTACAACAATAAATATCTTTCCTCTTTATAATATAAGTGTAGAAGTAGATAACGTTCAGTAGAAACTGGGTTTTTTCAAATAAAAAAATATCTTTTAATTCCAGAAATATTGCATGCTTTGTAACTTCACACAATTACATCATAATGGTTTGAGTTAAAGAAAATCTTCATAGTGCCAGTAAATTTATTTTAATACATTTGAGGATCTTTACCAAATAGAATAGATTAACGAAATAAAGAGGTAAAATTAGGGAAACACCTGTTTATTTGGTAAATCCAACTTTACCCTTCTTAACACTTCCAGGTAAACTTCTAAGAAATTAATTAAATTTCTAAGAAATCTATTGTTAACTGTAACGCCGGCGTGTCCGCGGTCGTGGAGGGGTTAAATACAATTCAATTTATAAGGAACATAGTAAAATTTTACGTAACAAATCGAAATATTTCTTCATATAGCGTATTACAAAACGAATATTAAGATTGCAGCCAAACTTAATATAATTGCGCAAAAAATAAATACGCTGATATACAAACCGTACCTAATCGAAAAGATTGAAGTCGAGACAAATTCAGCCGGATATAATGTTTTAAGGTTCATTTCCCGGAAATCGCAGATTTTACTCCAATTTAATTAAAAAAAAAACGCGGTAAAAATTAAATTGCATAAGTTAGTCTAACACTTTTTTAATTAGTCCTTACATTACAACAGATTATGCAAGAATTTCATGAAGAATATACCTATGTATAATTCGTCATTTTTTGTTTTAACTGTTCGTATAAATATTTAATTAAACATAAATTGTAGATTCGTTCGTGTTAATTTAAAGTTTACGAGCAATTAAACGTGTTCTCTATTTATTTGGCACTGTACAATTGCGAGTCTGTAGAAAAACCAAATATACCGTCCGTTCAGTGGTCAAAAATTGACCAAAATCATTTTTTTATTGACAACACTAAAATTCATCAATAGCTACTAATCAAAAAAAAGAAAATCAGTTGACAAGCAGTGGAGATAAAGGTATTGGACAGCTTTCGTCTTTGCCTATTTTTATATATAACCTACATACTAAGTTCACAAATGTTGCGATTTACTATATAGGTGACATAAACACTTCAAAATTTAAAACTGTTTAAATACTCATTTCAGTATATAAATATATATAACTTCAAAAATTAATAATTTTTATACACAAATTTAGGTTCTTTTTCAACCCTCTAAGCCTCTAGGGGATGAACTTTTAGTAAATATTTTCATAGCTCTCCTCTTTGTTATTCATTAAGGAACTTAATGTTATTACCTGTTTGCATGTTGAAAGTTCGTAGGTTTGATTCCATCATAAATACGAAAGTATGTGTGTGTACATATTTGTTACTCCTTCACGCTCGAATGTTTGGATGGATTCGGAAGATATTTAGTACACAGATAAACAACGGACAACAAATCAGACCTGGAGTAATACAACAACATAGGCTACTGTAAATTTCATTAAATGTCAAATATAAAGATATACAATTTTGTCTTACTTTTTACGACTAAACAGCTAAACAAAGTGTAATAAAATTTGTCATGGCGAAAATTGAATGGATTCAATCCGAAGTCAATAGCCTACATTTTACGAAGTAATGAATAGGTTTGTAGGAAATAATCTCAAATAAAAACTTCAGATTTTATAAAATACTTTGTTAGATTTACGTAAATATTTGACATTTTAAATAAGACTATCTTTACAGATTTTTTCGCGGATTTTCCCCGATTCGTTCGCTCATTTCCAATCTAAATAAATCCCTCTAATGACCATGTTTGCTGTGAATCATTCAAAACGGAAACCAAAAATCAATATAAATCCCGTAAAGAAATGCGAAACGATAATTTGGGATTTAATTGGTACTTCTATAAATAAATGCCAGTTTCAATGTATACAAAGTATTCTGATGAAGTCGGGGAAATGTACGAATTTATTATATAGCTCTTAAAACATTTTTACAACATCATTGCTATAATTTACCAGATATGATACCTATGTCATTTTATCGTAAACATGGAGCAATGAACCCAATGATAGCAAATCAACTCTAATAATACTAATAGCTTATAATGACATCGCAAATCTCAATTGCGTGTAAATCCATTAAATAATAAACTGTTTGTTTAAATGACTAATGAACAAAAGCGTTATGACATCATCAAAATTATTTGATACGCATTTACAAGTCTTTTGTTTATTATTGGTATACAAGCTTACAGCCGCAATTCTGCTCGAGTCGTGGCTACGTCGAAAAAAGAATAATTTGGAACAAGACAGGATAAAATTTATCTCTATATCGAATTTCACTCAGTTCGAGCGTTATTGCCTGAAGCAACAAACACACATAATTTCGCATTTAAAAGTACTCTAATATCTTTGACATATTTATGTATAGTGTATTAGTCAAGCCTCTTTCTATACTCTTTAATTTTTTTTAACTTCACCTCTTTCACAGAGTCAGAGGATCAAAATATAAGCCAAGGGAAAAATTACAGTATTACTTCACCCTCATCTAGTTTAGCTCCATACATGATTAATTTAGATCAAAGACCATTTTTTAGTAGGAAATGAAAAAAATCATATTGGAAATCCGTATCAAAACAACTCACTCGGTATCAGTGTCACTCAAGGCCGACATACAGCCCTAGGCGTTAGGCGAAAACCGCTTTTATTGCAATCCGATAACACAGCACAATCACAAACACTATTAAGAGGAAAAACTTTTATTAAAATAATATAAATATTATCTTTTGTGACGTGGGGACGTCTGCTCGCCGTGACAGTCGGACAACAAATGATGTAGGAAATGTTTTAGTGCACTCACCTGATCTTTTCCTGCGCGCGCGCCGCCCTGCAAACCCCCGCCGCACTCGCGTCTGCAAATTACATAAGTTTATTATGCGATAGGAATGCTAGGGCCTAGGGCTATAGAAACTGATGATACATATCAATGCCACATTAGATTTACGATTAACTTGCATTATAATACTCGATTCCGGACTCGAAGTGAAGATTGTTGATTTAACATTGTTTCAAAATAAAATCGATTAATTTTTCCATGTTCAATTAAGTGAGTTATATTAATAATACATAAGGTGTTATATTAATAATATATAAGGTGTTATATTAATAATTTATAATTCATAAGGTAATGTGTTATGTATAGTTATGGTAATTAAAAAATAATATGCATTATTTTATCAGAAAGCTAAACTGTTTACAAAAGTGTCTGATATCTGGAAATACGTATGTGTCAAAATTATTAATTAATTAATATTTAAATATATATTATACTCGTATTACTTTTACAATTATATTTTTCTGTGACAAAGGTTTACGTTCGCGTTGTAAAGTCCGTCATATTCCGTAAGCACAATGTAGGTTTAACCGGCGGCAAATCATAAATCATGTCTTCCTGATGATGCAATGGATACTATCGCCGTGCCGTATACAAGATTGTTAAAAGCGAAATTTTAATTCTAATAAAATAAGGCAATGATCTCAATATTTTGTCCTTCCATTTATTGAAAACTTTGTATATATGGTAGTTTAAGAAATAATTATATTTGTGAAGTTTATATTTTACTTTTTTTATCTAACTTTATAATTACATTCTTTGAAAGCTATAAATTTTAAATGTAATTTTTATAATATATAAAACTATTAGAATTTACCAAGGTGGTTAGTCTCGTAGGGCGAACGGTTAAAGAGCGTAAATTAGCTCTATTGTATATTAATGACAGCAATATTTATTAGGTACCTTTTTTACCTTATAACGGAAGGCGTCGAATAAGTACATAGGTATACATATTTAGAAAAAGACTAAGCCTCCCATACAATAATTGTTTTCGGTACATCAACTATCATCAAACCTACGATCTTTGGCGCAATAAACAAAGCTATAACGTTCTTCCTATATAAGTAAAGGTTACAAATACAAAGTACTGATTGGTATTATGTCGCAAACGTGTGCAATTGTTACATGAGTGAACGTTCCCAGGCTGCGGCGCGGCGGGCATTCTACATTGTACAATCTCAAGATATTACGAGTTACGACAGGTGCGCTATCGTGAGTCTTTAATAATATATAGGTAGCTACTTACGTTTTAACGTTTTGTATAGGCTTTTTCAGAGATATTTTCCCGCAGTAAAAAATATCCTATAAGTTGACCCGGATAACCAGCTATCATCATATCAAATTTCATCAAAATCGCTCCAGCGGTTTTTTCGTGATGCGGTCACAGACAGACGGACTAAAATTCTAAAAACTGTATTTTCGGCCTGTGTATCGATAATAATGTCTATTACAATGAAAATTTCCAAAAAATATGATTCGACTTAGTTAAAATTTTATTATATTTTGTATACATACTCGTAGATATGTCGTAGGGAAATTGTAAAAACCGTTAAATTAAAATTTCTCATAAAAAATTTATTGATTCACAACATTACTGAATGTGCTTAGTGAAATTACAATATACCTATATGGGTTCACGATTTTTACAATTTAACTGTGGCTTCGCCTAAGGGTTGACATTTTTAGTTTGGAATCCGTCAAGCTATTGTCAATAAAAAGTTTCGTAAGCTTTTTATGTACCTTTAAAAAAACACTTTTAACGGAAGTCAGTATTTTGAATCCCGTCTTGATCGACATTATGTTTGTTAGGGGAATTCCGCTTTGCTTTAATCGGAGCAAATATGTATCAGCACAGTTCTCAGACCATTTCCAACATGTGGGGATCGAACCTGTGACTTGCTCTATACTAAATTAGAAAACTTTTTAGTATAATTTTATTCAGCATACACCTTTTATTATATAAGAGATCCACGCAGCGATGAGACACAAGGTAGTATATCTAATTGAAATCTGTACTTCCCTATTAAGTTCATGAATCGTGATCTTTACCACACTACAAACTATACGTTTCCGTACAATATAAATAACTTAACGCTCCCTCCTTTACTTAATAAATGATTAATGATTATAATGATTCTGCCTGAATACTGTCTCGGTGGTCTAGTTAGCATATACAGCCGCAGATCCAGAGGTCCTGGGTTCGAGACCCGGGTCGGGCCAAGTTTAGTTACTGAATTTTTCTGCCAAGAAATTCTCAGTAAAAGGAATAGAGAGTGCATTTGTGTCTGTGTGTACACGCGCTGCATATATGGCTAGTCTCAGTGAGATTAGCCGCCGTGGCTGAAATAGGCCAGGAGGATATTAAATTACTAATCATCCCTTCATCTATTCAATTCAGCCCTTTTAGACGCTCCATTACTGGGCACAGAACATCCAAAATAAAGAATAAAAGCTATAACCAACGCACGCTTTACAACATCTTACATGCCAACAGACCACCAGGCCACAATTAGAAATATGAGCCAGTGATTGGAGGAAAACATCGTGAAAAAACTTGCACGTTTGAAAGAACCTAATCAGTTTTCCAAAGACATGTCTTTGTTGTTAAGTCTGCCAACCCGCATTTGACCAGTGCGTTGGGTTATGGCCTGATTCCCTTCGTATAGAAGGGATGCCCAACCCCAGCAGTGGGACGTTAACAATATATGAGGAGTTATTCGCAAGACAAAAACTGAAAAACAAAATGATTTATATACTACCATTAAGGCTTAAAAGAGCTGTCAGTCACGACGTAAACATATTTTACTATAACACACGTGTACATGACATTACGCAACGACCAAACCCATAAAGTGATATAAATTGGAACATTCATAGCTAGAAAACTTATAAGTAACTTCAAGCACGAGGAAGCAAATAGCGGTGGCAACTTAATGCCAAGTAGGAAGCACTTGATCGACCGGTCAAGTGTGAAACGCGCTTAGAGATCGATATCTCGATGTACAAGTTGTCGAGACATTTGGCTCGTGTAATTTTTATTTAAATTGGTACACACTTGAAAACGAGAGTGTGTTATTTATAAAAATTGTATGCAATACTATAACATAATATTTTATATTTGTAATCGACTCCAATAAAAACTGGTTTGTTAATTCGATCGGTCGATGTTTTTTGTGACGCGATACATCGTTTATGCTTAAGATAACAGAAAAAAAAAAAAACAAAGAAATAATTCAAAATTTCGTGGTAAATATATATAAAGCAAAGTGAATTCTCCCTTCATTTCTATCAATATCGAAATATACGCGGATGCAACTCTTACCGGCAAATCTCAACACTAACCGACCGTTATTTTTTACTACATATGTAGGCACCCTGTGCGTAATGTTTATAAGATACAGATTGAAGTATTCATAGACGATAAATAATTGGAACTATTATTATTAAGAAAGAAGTACTAACAAGAAGATCGACCAAAATTCTATCTACACTACGTCAAATAATCGAAGGATAAGTTTAACACCAACCAGTAATAGAGCCTGCGATCATCAATGTTATAGACAGTGCCAGACATGCACAATTTACAATTCAAAGCCCGGAAATGATGTTTATGAGGAAGAGAAATAAATAACAAGGTATGACTAAAACAAATTAGCATTTTGCTGTCATAACATGACTGTTTGCCGAATGTTTGGCCTTTTAGATAAGATTGTTCTTTTAATGTTCGTTTAATCTATAGCCCAGAAGAATAGTAATAGAATTTAACTTTGCACTAAATTTCCGATCCAAATATTTTTATAACATTTAGGATATCTTACTGAGTATAAAATCACAAAATGCTGACAGATTCCGGTTGAGCTTCAGGCGCCATCTTGAAAAAAACGTTGGGCGATATCTCGGAAACTATGCACTTTAGGGCAAAAGTCATTAGGACTATTTTGGTAAAGAATAAAATTTCGCATCTTTTGTTTTCTGTATTTTTTTTGTAAAACTTACTGTTTACGATTTATGGCTCATTTAAAGAACCCCATTTTATTGATTAAATCAATATTTTAAGAGTTATCGGCCGAGATAGGAAAACCGGTTCATTTTATTTCATCGGTCCAAATTATGATGAAATTTGGTATCATGATAGCTGGTTATCCGGGTTAATATTTAGGATATATTTTACCGCGGGAAAATATATCATCTCAGAGACATCTATATTACCCGTTAAATCGTTACCAAGGGACGAACCTGAGTAGAGTGAGGGTGAGTCGCTAGTTATAAATATAAATACAAAAGTTTTAGAATTAGACCTTATGGACCGAAGAATGCCACAGGGTAATTTTTTATCAGGTCCATCAAGTGGTCATTTTGGTATACTCAATATTAGTATATTGCAGCAGACCTCATACTAATACATTATACTAGTATTATAAAACTTCCTTTTCCTCCTAAACGGCTTGACTTGATTTTGATGCAATTTTTTGATGTGCTTCTATAATTTAAAAAAAGAAAAGTGTAAATTACACTTTTCTTTTCTTAATAGATATACATATTGTATTTTAGTAAAGAAAATAATTCACTCTAATAGGGTAGAATACATACTTTATAACGTTAATAATATTTAATTAAAAAATATTGATTTTACGATTAATGTATATTCGAAACTAGAAAACGAGTTCTTTAGTTTATGTGAGATAGCTGCTCATCAATAAATAATTGTCCATATTCGCTAAAACCACTTCCACATAAAGAACTGATCTCTCATACTCAACTTAATCAATTAGAAACTATTTAGCAACGCCCAATTTGGGATGGAAGATTACAAAGTAACGCCACAGACTACTAACTCATCCAGTCATCTAAGGAAGGTCTAAACAAGGCAATCTTGCGGGTGGAGACACGAAGAGGCGCTCTTTACTGTAATACATTCGTACTAATATTATAAATGCAAAAGTAAATGTCTGTGTGTTACCATTTTACGCTTAAACCGCAGAACCGATTTAGATGTTTGGTATGGGGATAATTTGTAACCCTGGGAAGGACATAAATAGTTTTTATTCCGGAAATCATCCCTTAAGAAAGTGAAAACGGAGGTGGAATTTTATATGAGGAATCAATCATTTCTCACAATTATAGGATATTTTTTATTTCTTAAAGTACCTATTTACCTAATTTTTTATACCTATTTATACGTATAAAGTCTATCTATTCCATACTAATCGTTAAAATGTACTTAGGGTCTTCCCTAGATGAGAGAAACGAGGGTGATCGCTAGTACTTTTATATAACAGTTGGGAAACGGTTTTAGAGTTGACGGGTATTACTATAACTCGCCACGAGATCGCACTACAATGCTTTAACTTGAAAATCGTCCGCAATGAAAATAGTTATATATGTCAAACCTTGCATGATATATTAAACTCCATGGCCTACTGAATGGTTTTTATGCTGTGGTAACAGTATCCAGTTCAAAGAGCGTGTTTACTGCCCTGCCGGCGTCTCGTGCCACTTTCACTCTCGCGGCCTACTTGCGCCGAGCGGTCACTCGCTGCGTTACAACACGGATTATATCATTGCAACGGCATTGAGAAGGACGAGCTGTCACTCGATTAATTACGCTACTTGTGCTAAATTTTGGCAAGTCAAGGCCTTTTGCACCTAGATATTGGTGTTTCATATATTGGATGGATATTTTTTAAATATTTGTTCTTAGTGAAAGAAAGACGTAGTGTAAAAAAAAACATGAACGTTAGGTACCACATACGACACATGGATATAAAAAAACATGCATAGTTTTTGTTTTCATCATCGTTTTTTTTATCTTTGCATATTTCATCTATACATATAAAATTGTAACTAAGCCGAATCTGTACATTAAATATTTTTTGGAAAATCTTATTGTAATAAACATTATTATCGATACAGAGGCCAAATCTATAGTTTTTAGATTTTTTGTCTATCTGTGTCTGTCTGTTACCGCATCACAGAAAAACCACTGGAGGGATTTTCATGAAATTTGGTATGATGATAGCTGATTATCCGGGTCAACATATAGGTTACTTTTTACCGCGGGAAAATATCTCATTTCTGAGAAAAAATACAAAAACTGCATTGTAAGAGTATACTAGTATGTAAAACTTAAGAGTTTAGTTTTTGGTAATCTGAACGCGGGCGGAGCCTCGGGCAATGCTAGTAAGAAATATTGCCAGTTTTATAAATTAAAAAACAAAATTTTATATTTTTTACACAGATAATACATACTACTTATATAATTTATGATCACGACCTGGTTCTTCATATAGGTATAATGGAATGCATGTATTAACGAGATCGCATTCGGCGCGGCGTTGCGAAGAATGCACAGCATTATAAAGTTAAACATTTTTTAGTGTAAAATAGACAGGTGATAGAAAGTACAGATTATTTATTACAATTACACATTTTGAGTATAACGACATTTCCATTTTTGATTCGTTATTTTGTTGATTCATTATTTTCCCGTAACGATAGAAAGAAAAATTATATATAAGGACTTTACCAAAATATAAAATTAGGTATCAAATGAACTTAAAAATTGAATGAAGCGTTATTATATGAAACAGAAAGCCTATTACACAGGCATACATCGAAACACTGAATCAAACATTCGTCAAAATCAAAATCGGACCCGCGATGTAGCGCTAATATTTTCAAACGCTCGTTCATGACAAAGTCCTCCTGACCACGACTCGCGGCGACCAATCTCACTATAACCATATTATACGTGGGAAATAATCATGTGCACAAAATACATCTATTACTTCACTTTGTTTATACTCATCGCAGACTTACAAAATCTGGGCTACTACTGACATTTTTTGATAGAAAGACCTAATAAGTTTTAGCTTGCCCTTGGACTAGAACCCTAGTTCTTTTGATCAGCAGCCGAACATACTAACTCTTGAACCATTAAGGCATTATCTCATTAGAATACTACAGACGTTGTGAACGGATGTACTAGCATTTTTAAAAATGGTCAAGGCTATGTTTACTTGACTGTCTTTTGTCAATATGTAAATATTTGACTCGCGTAGACACGTATTAATCGAATCCAGACCTACCTGATTACAAAAGAATACCGTTAAATAAACTCTTAAGGTTATTTACACGCCACTTGGTACCTAAAAAGATTTTGTTTTTTTAGTATTTCTTTAGAAAAAATTACTGGCGGGCAAAAATATATTTAGAATATATTGACTTTCGAGTTTTAGATTTTTTAGATAAGTAGTATTTATATATTTTATTGAAATTCCTAAAATGGTACGTCATCGGCAACAGTAAGAGACGATCGTACCGACGACTTCTGCAATCTGCATATATTATATTACCGTACCGTTAGACCGTATGAGGCATACGACCTGCACCACTACTAAATTCAAAAGAGTCAATTTTAAGAAGATTGCAAATCGTTGCAAAACATTTTACAACATGTCAAATTAGGAAACGAATGTTAAGCAAGCATTGTCGGAGGAGAATGTAGATTACGTATAAAAATAGCATATTATAAAGCAACATAAATAATTTAATTCAATTTCCTGGCAACTTATAATTCCAATTTCAATAAAAAAGTTACAACATTAAAGTTTTATAAATATAATAACGACTACTAGCGACCGCCCGCGGCTTCGCTTGTTAAAGTTAATAAAACTAACCTATTCTGCAGGTATAGTTTTGTGGTAATCGATTAAATAATTTCAGAGATTATCCCCTACATATAAACAAACATTTTTCGTCTTTTTATATGAAGTAGACGCATTTAACGTTATTTTAGTACACATATTTGTACTTATACATATATTAGGATCACGTGTGCCTGTCTGTGCATAAATTATACCTCGAGAGCGCACCAATTAAAATGCTTTTGCTGACTACATTCTAGTACTGTAGATAGCAATTGAGTTAAATTCAGTAGAAAGGGTTCTCAGAGAAACAAATCTATGATTGTATTTAGGGTATCAGAAGTTTTATCTATACATATAATAAAATACTAACTAAACCGAATCTGTACCTACATTAAATATTTTTTGGAAAATCACATTAAAATAGTCATTATTATAGATACAGAGGCCGAATCTATAGTTTTTAGAATTTTTGTTACCGCGCCACGAGAAAACTACTGGACAGATTTTGATAAAATTTGGTATGGTGATAGCTGCTTATACGGGTCAATATATAGGATACTTTTTACTGCGGGAAAATATCAAATTTTTGAGAAATCTATACTAAACGTTAAAACTTAAGTAGGGACGAACCCGACCGGAGCGAGGGCGAGTCGCTAGTTTATATATAAAAGCGAAATACAGTACAAAGTATAAATGCTACAAATTTTATTTTAAGCCGATAGTTTTCTCATTTCTTATAGGGAACAGGTCTCCGTAAGAAATGATATTTGGAAATTCAAGCAAAAATGAAGTAAAATAGGGGTTGAAATAATTTAAAATCTTAGTTACATCCTCTGGGGATCTCAAATAGGGGTTGATAAAATTGAACACTTTGTCGTTTTAAAAGTAAGAAACATAAACCACCATAGAAAATAGGTTGTATATGAGACATTTGTAGAGCTTAGTTTTTAAAATACACGTTGCTCACTTAAGCTAATGACTAGAGTGAAACAAAAACATTGTTTTTAAATAAAACCCTTCCATTGCATGAAGTAAAGTCACTGGCGTTATACATATCGGCATTTACATAATACAAAATTGGTATACTCTTTGCTAGGATTACGAAATTGTACGGTCGACCACACAGTATGTTATAATTGAACGCTTTACGGTATGTAAAAATGTTAATATTGTTTATGTCCTGTTATATAAGGTGTAAAACGCAGTGGTAGCCCAGTGGTAATGCGCTCGCTTGGGAAACCGAATGAAGCGGGTTCAAATATACACTTGTGACAGTTTCATATGCGAATTATTTCTAACATGATCACTACATGTCTTACGGTGAAAGAAAACATCGCGAGAAAACTTGCATCTCTGAGAGAACCTATCACGTTTTCAAAACATGTGTTTTGAAAACGTGATAGGTCAGGTAAACGTGAAGTCCGCCAATTCGCTTTTGGTCATTGTGGTGGACTGTGGCCTGATCTCCTCATCTTGAAGGGAGGCTCGTGCTGAGCAGTGGGACGTTAACAAAGGGCTGAATACATCTAAGGTGTACATATATGAAGTTGTTTGCTACTTTTAATGTTGAGTCAAAAAATGCAATCTTTACAGTCTGTATATAAATAACTCAAGAATATGTGTTCATGTAATAATTTCTATTAGTCCTTCGAGCCGGATACGAACCAACTATTTTTTTCAGTTTAAATAAAAGTACATATGTATTACTTGATGAGTTAAATAAAAACAATAAATACTCACTGTTATCAGCCACAACTTCATCATCCCGCTGTGTTAAGCCCATGGCTGGTCGCGCGCAAGCTTCATCACTAGAAACATCCTTTAGTTAATAAAAAATATATAATAAGAAATTCTGCGACATATATTCGTTTCGATGAACTTTGTGATCCTTTAAATTAAAACACTATATTAAAAATTTAGTTTCAAAAATCTTAATTATTGTAAGTATAATAACTTTTAACGACACTCGAGGCGCAGTATTATATAAATCTAATTTGCACTGTCTAGAAGGCCGAAGATCCTGTGTTCGCTTCCCACACGGTGCATATTTTATACCATAAATATTTAATAGATAATAGTTCTTCAATTTGGTCTACTCTTAGTAAACCACATGTAATTACTGTTTTACTGACTACCCTACAAATAAAAAAAATTAAACACTAACTATGCCTCTCACCTCAACAATTTATCCCGGAAGCAGACAACTGTGCGTCTCTCGTCACTGACTCCTATTGAGAAGGTGGTGAGGTCCGGCTGAGCCAGTTGCTCCACACAACGATGGATTAGGAAGCGACGGTAGTTGCTCACGGGAGGAAATATCAGGACACTGCCATGAATATATTTATAAATAAACATATAAAGTTATAAGAAGTTGTTTGTCTTAGATAATACAAGTTGAATTTTATTGAAGTAAAACTTCTTCAGGCCTGACTGAGGGTAAGTCAATATAGCGAAAAAAACAAAAAAACAGCCAAATTAAAAACCTTCTCCTTTTTGAAGTTGGTTAAAAATGAGTGTTGAGGAAGTGAGATTAAAATTTATTATGAATAATTTAAAAACATATATTATATTTATATTTTTATAATACATAATTATTATTTATAAGAATATGTATTTAAAATTAATAATTTTATAAAATTATTATATTTATATTTTGATTTGTTTGTAATTTCATTACGGTATCTGCCACAGTATCAAAGAAGTTTTTTACTTCAACCACACGTAAAGGTTACACTCACATTTTTTTTTTAAATAATGCTGTTAATTTTGTCACATCAAAATTATCTTTTATCTATATTGTAAGTCATAGCTTTAATATTTAAATATTTTAATGATACAAATACAAACTTTAACAGGTATTATTATTTATCATGAACTTTTTCCACTTTTGTGTAAAAAACATTTTTGTGTAAAAAAAATATTAATTAATGTATGTATATAAAATATAAATGCAATAATAAGCAATAAAAATAGTGAAAACATCTATGCATATAAAATATTTTTAGGACCATATATAACTTTTTAGATCTGTTTATATTTAACGAAAACTAACTTACTTTATTACTTATAGTTTTTACAATATAGTAAAGAGAAATTATGAAGAACAATATACTTATTGATTAGCACTTTTAGTTTTAATATTATAATAATTTTATTACAAAAATATTATAATAAATTAAAATTAATTAATAATGTTATATATGTATATTAATATAATTATTGTCATTGCTAACTATTGCATAACATCCTCAATTTATATTTATTTTCTTGAAGTTAAAAAAAAATGTAGAACATTTACAAATTCTACTACTACACTAATCTAAAAAAAATTATTATAAAAATATTAAAATTCCTATGTAATATTGCTAATAATTATTAGTATCCACGAAAAATCTAATAAGACACACGCATGGCTACACTTGATATACAATTTTAATTCGCAATAATAAATATAGTTTCCGTTTTTTTATATGTGAAACTAAAAACTAATTAAAATCTGCCAATTAAGTATAGGAAAGAAATTGAATAAAGCAGGCTTGTCGTTCACAGAACAGCTGCAATGTTTTTTGTAGTGTACAGTTATTAGCGTCCAAGGTGTCATCTCAGCGCGATCTGTTTGATCGCATCCTACGTTTGTGCGAGTCGGCTCATAACCTTGAAAACTCACCCATTTAATTAACATTCACTAAATAGCTGAAAGATGCAAACACTTTAAACCACCATAGCTTTAAATTATCGCTCGAATTCCGCACTTTTTTTAATGAACTAACTAAGGTGCAACAACTTGTAATTAATGTTTACCTGTCAACTTTTTTTTCGGCTAGAAAACATTTTAAGTCGTCGTTGACATCTTCGACGAAATTGTCGTCCGCAAGGTTAAGGAAACGCTCCACCGTTTTGGCACCCAGTTTGACGGAGAACCGTGTGTTCTAAATAATCAAAAACTAACCATCAAGTTCACGTGCCAAAAGAAAAACTATCGGTCGTCCATTTTCAGTTTTTCATCGCGTATAAATTTGACATGAGCAAACAGCAAACACAAATGCAAATTTGACATTTAAATTTCGCACACAAACAAATCTACCACAGACTGTATAGAAATGTAAACGAAATACACAGATAAATAATTAAATGAATAAAAATCGATAAATCGAGTTAAGTATCGAACTTATATATACATTTCATATTACTTAATTTACTGAATAGGTATGTACAGCAAAATATGATGAAATATAGTAATAATTCATGATTTATATAGGACTAGCAAAGGGAATGGTAATTTTTCTCGCCTTCAATTTAAGTTATTACGATTTCTAAGAGTAAATACATTTTCATTGGAATATAAAATAGCCTATAACCTCGACGGTTATCACAGAGTACTTTGGTAGATGGTAATATAGCTTCCTATGAGTAAAAGAATTTTTACAATCAGATCAGAAGTTTCAGAGACTACGCGATACATACAAACTAACTTTTTATAATTACCTAATTTACTAAATAGCAGGAAGCTCTTGGAAAACAAGTGATTTTTATAAATCGTATTGGGGCTGTTACCATTAAGATTTAACTAAGTTAAGGCGTAAGTTTTGCCTAATAATACATAGTACGCTTCATGTCATTTATAGTCTTTGGTTTTAAAAAATTAAAAGTTAAGTACACATAGTCTCACATAATTATTGACATTTATAAACTGTAGGCCAAAACTAAAACAAGAAAAATATTCAAATAATATATTTCGAATAATCATCAAATAATTTGTGTTAAAACTAACATTCATTTAAATTGTCTAACTGAATCAAACACCAAGTAGTGTTTGTATGATGGACAACAAAAATTACTAAAACAAAATAACAAAAAGAACTAAAACCTCTCTTCCATTACTTTACAATAAACTAAACATAAATAAGAAAATAAAGCACATTACTTTCAAAAATATCTTCATTATAATTGTTAAAAATTTTCCTTATTATTTTAAGTATAAAATTCTACAAATTTTGATTTATTTAAGGTTTAACAATTACAGAAATTGATAGACATTTAGCAATGAGGCCCGTCGTTTCTGGCGGCACCAGTTGGCGCCACTGGCGAGTGAGGTCCTAGCGCTGTCGTTGAAAACGTATTTATTAGTGCGAAATTTAATATAATGATTATTATAATTATTAGCGCGAAAACAGTTCTATCGGGATATACCGTACCGTGTCTGCCATGATTGATCAGAAATGGCACAATCTTTATAATAATGATGAATATCACCTCCAAATATATTTCTAAGAAATCTATTGTTAACTGTAACGCCGGCGTGTCTGCGGTCGTTGAGGGAATATTAGTGAAAGTCCACGATAAAAAGCTCGCACACAGTAACCGTTCAATGACATTTGACATTTCTGGAGACCTAGCTCTACACTGGCGCCCTCTCGCGGCGAATTCAAGCGCGAGCAGTATAACAGTTGTTTGTCGCTATTGAAAAAGCAACAAAATATGTAATGGTTTATATTATCCTGGGGATAATATAAACCATTACTTTTGTGTCTTGCTAAAAAACTTAGTACTCATTCCATGAGCAACAAAATAAAATTAAACTAACATTTATTTTACCTTTAAATACAAATCCCTCATAGGTAAGAAAAAAAGAAAATACCTATTTGAAATAAAATTAAAATAAACATCGTCATTTTTAAATTAGCTAAGTATATAATTTACATAAAAAAACTTATTTATGCACGAAATTAAAGTGCCTAAAATCGATATTTTTGTTCGATATCTCGATATCATAAAAAAAAATATAATTTTAATAGAATCAGATGAAGACTATTCAATGTCATTGAAACAATGATATTATCACAAATTATATTATTGTACTAACTAACTCCCACATGAACAATTGCAATTGTAGGACTTGAAATTGCATTAAGTTTACATATTTCTCTATAAAATATAATATAATTTACACATGCCTATTGTCTACACAATTTTGTATGTACAAAATTAATAATCTTATTTACTTATTACTAATAGTTAGGGACTGGTTGTTCCTTACAGAGATTATTACCTGGAAACACCTAATATGTACAATATGTCATTATAAAACTTATAAACAAAATTTAATACATAAAATTTATAAATTTTATGATTTAAAAAATATTGACATTTATCTAATACATATATGTATATATAGTACATCTTAATGATGAAATACAATTAAATGTATATAAATTAAAATGAATGTGAGTGCAGTGACTTATAATTGACATAACTGGTAAAAGATCATAAATAAAGTACTTAATTCACAGTGTTGTGATACCGCAGAGCTATTATTAATAGCAAACATTAAATTATATTTATAAAGAGTTTACCTTTGTAAAACCTATGTATTTCATAGACAATAAATGATAGTTGGTCTGTAAAAACATATGCATGTTTTTACTTTTTAAATTATCTCAATATTGGCTAAATTTTTATATGTTCATATGTAATATAATTATAAAAATTAACCACTGGCTGCGACATTGCATGCTTAGCAATATTATTTAGTCTGTAGTCATTAAACAAAGGCCTTAACTTAGTTCCATTAAAATCTGTCCATCCGTTCTTAAGTCATGGATGTCTAAATAGAGATATATATATGATATAAAATTTATATTATAAATTTTTATATAATATGATATAAAAATTAATTTTTCAATTTCCCATGTCGAATAGCATGTAATAACATACAAACCATTCCTTATACCAGTAAGTCTCAATGTAGATTCCTTAAAGCTTTCATAATATTTTTGTTTTAAAGAAAGCTATTATATCAAAGACATAGGTTTTCACTGGTGGAAGTACAATTAGCTCCTAGTTACAAATCAATCTTGGGTCTATACTGCAGGCGGAGAGGAGGATCCCGGAACCTCCAGCGAGTAACATAAACAAACTTGAGAGTATGGTCTTTGCCAAGCAATTCATCGTTGCATAGAATGTCAATCTGAAAACAAGTTACATTATATTTTAATTGAAATGCAAGAAATGTGAAGCAACATTTACATTGATAATATAAAAAGACAAACATCTGTTGGACATTTTGTACATTCTCTGTGAAACCTTATAAGCATAGCATCAAAGGTGAGGACTGTTAACAGTTAAAAAACATCCTATTATTTATATCATATAGTTTCATTCAAAACCAGCTCTAAAGAAAAATAGAAACTATAAATTTTGAAATAGGTACTTTTTGTTTAAATAAATCCCTAAGCATCAAAATCATAAAATGTACCACCTTAAAAGTTGAAAAAATATAATTAAAATCTTTTGCAAATAGTTTAGCAAAAAATACCATTTGTATACTCACTTCTCGATATTTCTCAATGCCATTAAGTACTTTCTTAGCTACAAACTTCTTGAGGTGAGTGATTGTCGCTTGCGCTGAACATCTGATAAAGCTGCGCTTCAATGTTCTCAGTGATGTTGATATGCATTCCAGACATACATTCACCTGAAAAGATAAATAAATACATTATTGTTATGATATGCTAAGAAACTATGCAAACATAATTATTAAAATTTAACTGTCCTATCAATACCACAATAATAAACTGTTACATTTCAATAAAGTTTAGTGAATATAATTTAGTACAAAACACACTTAAAGACAAAGAAAACAAGATTTAATATACATATAATTCTTCTATTAAAATATTTTTTCCATTAAACATTATAAGTTTATAGAAATAATAAATAAACTATATAGAAACTGAATAATTTGCACATTATTTTTATTTTAAAAAATATAAAATCTAAGGAAATATATCCAACCTGTTCATCTTTTCTATGACAATCAGTGTTATCAGGTTGTTCCTGTTCATCCCCACCACCTGGCTTGTCTCCTGCCAAAGCCGCATCTTTAGGACATGGCAAACCTCTAGCTCGGTAGAAATCTCTTTCTCTCTTCAATTCATCTACAATTATTTATATAATTTTAAGTCTATGTTCAATATTAACTAGTTACCTTTGTAAATGTAGGGTAGACTCAATTTTCCACACTTAAACTCCAAATTGGTCCCCTGGGTTTCCTGAATCCTGGCTAACCTAGCCAGCTTACTAGTTACCTTTATAAATAGGAAGATAATATGTAAAGGCTGGTAATTCCTGGACCTTTTTGATATGAAATAAAACTGTATATCTGAAGAACATTTATCATTTCAAATTGGGACCATCAAATGATTCACATAATACATACTTTAGAAAGAAAATAGGTGTCATCGTTTTATAAATATATTGTAGTTGGTTCATCAGCTCTGGGCTATCTCTTGTAAGGTCTGAAATAAAACATGGCACTTTATTGATACATGTAAAATTTCAAAACAATACTTACTATCTTGTAGGTCTGGAACCAATTTGTATACAATATCCTGCATTGTTCTGTCGAAGCTTATATACTGTAATGGATGTGATTGATGGATCACTATATTGCATGTCGGGCATGTGTTGTTCTCTTCTAGATGTTTCACTAAACAGCTTTTGCAAACTGCAATTATGAATAATGTTACTTTAATCTTATATATTGCGTTTTTATTAAATATATATTGCAATGTTAGGGGTTACTTTATTACATAGAAATATTTCACTTTAAAACTTTTAAATCACCTAGATACATTACATTGATGTAGGAATATTGAAGTGATATTTTTTGTATTATTGATTATGTACAAAAACAAATATACTAACACGTATGAAGGCACTCAGTGACTGTGGTCGCGTCAATAAAGTATCCGCGGCAAATCTTGCAAGTTATATGGCTGTTTAATGTTTTTAGTTTTATCCTCCTTTCCATTGTCATTCTAAAACAACGACTGTGCCTAAACCATGAACTATAAATAAAAATTAAGGGAAAACAAAACAAAACACGAACATAAACCCGAGAATTTACAGTCACCAAACTCAAATCGACAGTGACATTGATGATTCAGCACAGAGAAATATTTAATATAGACTATAAATGGTGAAAATTTTTTACTTTTTCTCCCGCTAGATGACGCGATCACTATAGTTCTCAGTATATTGTAAAGCTCTATTATATCGTGGATGATATTTTTCATTTTATTTAAAATTTAATTAAAATGACAAATTGTGCAATGCCAGGATGCAAAGAAAATTGTTGTAACTTGTTCCCAAAAGACAAAATAGAAGAAATTGTGGGCTAAAGCAATAAGATAACCAAAATTGGCGAAATTACTTGTAATCTTTACATTTAAGGCTATGTAGTAATGTGGACATCATTTTGAAGAAAGTGATTTTTAAACTCTTAAATCGTCTACAGGTGAATATTCTTTTTTATTATTTGTGATTTTTTACATATTAATTACAGTTTCATACAAACATTCATCTCCAATTTTACCTCCTTATGGGGTGGAATTTCAAAAATGCTAAAACACATATTTATTTAATTGTAATGAAGAGCATTAATACCAAGTTTCAAATAATTTTGATCATAAATAATTCTTTGCCCATATAAACTTTATTGATTTCGAAAAAATAATAAAAAATATATTTCTTATTTTTTATGTTAAAGCTAAATACCACTTTCTTTGTATTTCACATTAAGCATGACAGAGTTTCTTACAATCTTTAATCTTCTATTTTACCCGGAATGAATTTCGAAAAACTCTATCTTATTGGATGCCTACATCATATAAGGAATACGTCCTCCAAATTTCACGTTTCTGCGACCAGCGATTTAAGCTGTGTGTTATTCCATCAGTGAGTCAGGAACACCACAGGATGCACCTCTCCTTCACTTCTACGTCTCAATTCTTCCTTCAGCCGGTATAACTTCCTGGTACAATACATTGCACAGGTAAGATGTGAACACAACAGAATCAAAAAACGGGTATAAAAGACTGAATGTAAATAGGCGATACATGTGGCGCCCTCCTTTCGAGAAATCTTCCCCATTTTAATGATATACCTGAGTTACTATGTATATTTCAAATATTATTAATAATAAATAATATATTTTATTACCAAATATATTTCACTAAATAAAAATTATTAATTAATTGGTATTTGCAATTGTTGAACTTTGTAATTATTCGATATTTATGTGAAAATCAATATTTTGTTATAATCCGTTAACGAAAAGAGGTGCGTCTTGTCCATTATTTAAAAAGAAATTATTAAGGACTAGCGACTCACCCTCGCTTTCGTCCCTAGGCGATTCTTTATATTTAGGTATTACAGTATTTTATTTATAAGCCGATTGTAATAAAACAAATACTAATTGTTTAATGAAGTTTAATAAATGAAAACCGCACCCAAACCGGATAAGCTGTTTCTGAGATAAGCGCGCACAAGCGCACAGACGAACAGACAAAAAATCTAAAAATCATTGTTTTGGATTCTATTGAGTTAATAAAGACGCCCAAAAGGTAATAGTTTTTGTCAAAATATATATACTTTTATTATATGTATAGATTATGAATTATGATACTTTTTATTATACATTTTTTTTTAAAATCGGTTCACTGTTCAGTAAGCCCAGAGATTATTATCATAGAAAATAAATATGATTGATTATATCTTGTGTTGTGTTGATATTTAAGTGAAAATAAAACTTATATTATTTACAATACGTATATAATGTAACACGCCCATATTTTAGACAACAGTGACAGGCAAAGGAATACTAATGGAATTGAAGAAATGTCCAAACTTAAGTACTATATTTGAATTTTATTTTTAACCAATATAAGAATAAACTTTGCTTTCCTAATAGTTAACACATATGCATTCAAACAGTCGCATTGGTATAATAAGCTACAATAACTTTGACAGCAATTATTCTTTTTTTTATATATATGGAAGAGATTGGTTCCTTTTTTTGGTAAATATTTAACTAGAGGGTCTAGGTGCAATATGGCAACATAAAAAAATCAATTAAATGTCGATAGATAGTGCTATAATGTACCTATGGTTATTATTGTTTGTTTAAAGTTAATTAGAGGAAAAAAGTATATCCCAAAGAGCTATATTTTGGTTTTTAAAAATATTTTAAGTAAATGGAAATTATATGATGTTTTTTTGTATTTGTTGATTTTTGAAAAATAGACCATTAGATAATGACTTTGTACACCGTATTCATAGATGGCGCTGTTTCCCTTTTATATTTTTTCCATGATAAATAAACGGTATAATTCACTACAACTTGTTCTAAAAAATGCGTTTCGAATGCTATATTTAACATATTTCAGTATATATGTATTTATAAGATAAAATAGTTCGACAGTTTGTGGATTAGCGCAATCTCTCGTCTATTCAAGCGAGCAATAATAGCTCGAAATAAGGCTCTATTTCTTTGTTTGAGACTGGGAATCCCATCAATCAAATAAGTGATAGATACATAATCAATCAGCGAACATTTGAGCATTTGTAAACAACTTTAACCATAGCATTTAAGATACAATTTATATTGTTATATATTAATATTTATTTTAACTACAATAATTATCTAAATACTTATAACTTATATTTAAGAGAACTTTTGCATGGGATTGTGTATCTAGTACTTTTTTGATTGATGGGGAATCCATTCAGTTATTGTGTATGGCATCATCTCTTTTCTTTCGCATATAGATAATATTAAAAAACACGTGTGGTCATGACTAACAAGATTAATAAAATCCAAACAGAAATTTGTGTAAAATTTTAATTTCATTTAAATATTTTTATACAATTATTTTTTATATTTATTATTATTTATATAATATAAATTGGTAACTAATCCTAAATTAAATAAATAAATTGACTATTTGATCAAAACATTTGAACAAATTACAAACACTTGAAGTCCACATTAACGCCAAAACATAAAATTAAAATAAAATTCCTAGGTTTAGCATTTTGAGGTAGTTTAGATTTTTTAGCCAATTTTTATAAATAATTGTAATTCTTTATACATATTACATTTTTTTTCGACTCACTGACTTCTAATATAAACCAGTTAAGATACTGATATTAAACAGTAAATTAAAAAAAACCAGGAGAAACTGAAATTTAACTTATTCTTGAACAATCCATTTAAAAATATATTATCATGATATTTTTGTAATAAGTTTCTTTTCAAAAAACAAAAATTTCGCATAGTTTAATAGACAAATGACAACTTAATATGGAATTTGGACAAACATTCCACCTCTCTGTATAGAATAAAGTTGGTCAATCATTAAAATTTTTATTTGTAATAATTTTCAGTATCATTTTAAAGCTTAAACCTTAAGACTCTTCACACTTAACATTATCTGGCACTTTTTGTGTTTCAAACAACTCCGAGTTGTCAGTCTCCGGCAACACCAGCCTGTAATGATTTGAAGGTGGCATTGGTACGTTAGGTTTTGCATGATCTCTTCTAAAATGTCTCGTCAGATGGCTGGTTTGTGAGAACTTCCTTTCACAAATCTTGCATTGGTACTTTTTGACTCCGGTGTGGACCACTTTATGTTGTTTCAAGGCAGAGGATGTGTAGAAGGTCTTCCCACACTCACAGTGGTAGTCCCTCTGGCCCTTATGTCGCTTCAGATGCACATTGTATGAACTGCAGGTTACAAAGCCCCGGTGACACTCTTTGCATTTGTATCTAAAATTATAATAAAAAATGTTAAAAATGACTTGTTAGGTTACAGACAATATGGAATGTATGTGATTTTTTTATTTTTTTAAAAACATCCAGCTCCAAAAGCTCAAATTTAGTATTTTTTTATCGTAATACGGATACATTAAACACCCGCCATTTTGCACGCTTAGCGTGACAGCACAGTATATAATAAGAGCGACAAAATTACTAAATTGGCAACACTGGCTCTGTTATTATAGACTTTGACGTCACATTCGGTCTGACCAATGGCGTTGCGTTTTAATATTTTTTTTCTAGACTTAATTCAAAAGCAATAAAGATTGTAAAAGAAAATATTTCACTTTTATTTAAGTCACACGCATATTCCCTATTGTATTACGGATTGGTTCCGCTTGTTTTGACCGAAGACAAAGTATAAATTTTTCCACTATTGAATATTTAAATATATATTTTGTATCTCAAATTGACATTGCCTGGTTATATATGTTAATATTTATAAATGCAATTATGTGCCATTTAGTGTTAGTCACTTCTTCAAGTTATTAAGTGAAATTCGCAATGGATATCGCTTGTATCCTCTAGAGCTGCTTTTTATCGACACACAACGCACAGAACCGCGGGATAAAACTAGCTTACGTTTCTTGACTGATCATTTTCTTGAACCTAATTCCAATAGTAATTTGTTTTTGACGATTCTTATTAAATCACGGTCCAGTTTATTAATTCGAAATTAACACGTATTTATCAAATTGTTATTAAAACTAAAATATCTATGATATTATGATACATAAATCAATCATAAATAAAAACATGTTACATTATTATTAAACCTATATAAAGAGAAATGAATGTTCGTATGTTTGTCTTCTACGTGTTCCTAAACCATTAATCCGATTGTGATGAAACTCTGGTGGATTATTCAGTATACGCCTGCGAAGGACCTGGCGCAAAAAAAGATTTTTATTTAAACGTTTATCTTTTATGTGTTCCTAAGCCGAATGGTTACCGAATAGCTTATGTGAATATAATAAACTAACCTAACTTCTTTGTTGTGTATCCGTACGTGTATGGACAGGTTGCCGGAGGTGGCGAAAGTTTTATCGCAAAGGTGACAGGAATATGGCTTTTCCCCATTGTGAGTTCGCTGGTGGACGTTCAGATCGGCTTTTATTGGGAATCCTGGAAAAGTGGCACAATATGGATGACGATAAAGGCAGTAAATAAATAAGGATAATTTTAAAAAAAGGGGTTTACCAAAACCGATTTTAATGATTTCAAATCACTTTAAAAAAATATTGCTTATCATTTAGGTATAAAGTGTTCATTTAAAGAAACACATCTTTTAAATCGGACTACAATAATTATAAATGTAAAATTTTGCTTGTAAGTTAGAGTTGTCACTGGAGTAACACATAAGCTACTGTTATTCGAGCTAAGTTAAGGAATACTAGTTCAGATAAAGAGAAGTCATTATAAAGACTTTAAATAAAAATAGAAAAGTTTTCATACAATAGAACTCATCAAAAAGACGTTTTCCAAAAATGAAGGACACACTTCCCGTTCCCAAAGCTAGGGCCCACCTAGTGTTGCAAAAAAAAGTGTTATTTTCTATTGTGAAAATAACTTTAAAAAACAAATATGATAAAAACAAGTCTTTTCTGGAGTATGTTTTGATACTTAGGAGTTCATATTAGAGTTTTCTGTTCATTTCCATACTTTTTTGGTTGAATAGTGCCAAGCTTACATGTGAATATTCCGACACCGACAAGTACGAGACTAGTGTAGGTTGCACTGATACTGAAAGTGGTACTGACATTGACACAGAAAGATTAAGAAATTAGAAAACATACATCAACAAAACATTTAATTTTCTAAACATTTATTTAAAAAAAAAATGGCACTAAGTTTTTTTTCACGTTACATCACTAGTCCCACTGCTCCCCCACTCACCCTTGCCGCACTCCTGGCAGAGGAAGGTCTTGTCGCCCTTGTGCCGCTTCATGTGTATGGAGAGCTGCGCGCTCTGCACGAACGTCTTGCAGCAGATGGTGCAGCTGTACAGCTTCTCTCCTGAACACCACTCTTACGTAAATCCCAATAACCTATCTATATTTCTTCTTATAGTCCACTTACTCTTGGTGGGTTCCGATTTACAAAAGATCAAGGATAGTTCTAATTCGGTAGATTCGGGGAATATATAGTACCTAAAACCGGTTTTTCGAGAATATCTTCCCTCTAACGCGTTAGATATATAAAAGTAGCTAATTACATAAATTCTAGCATGATATTTCCTGTACCTTTTGTGTAAGGCATTTTATTAATTTTAACCTTAACCTTTTTTAGCTAGAGCCCCTTTTAACATAAAACATAAAGGGCTTTAATTACAAAAGATCAAGGTTTTATTTTACCAGTGACTGGACTATTACGAGGAATTTTGACATAATTTATATGAAGTTTAAGTGAAACATCTATCTCTAGTAGTGAAAACGACATATTACTCGTAGATAGTTTATTAAGAAATGTGAATTTCATAGTTATATAATGATGAAAAAATAATGTATATATATATTAATCAGTAATATTGAAAAATCAACAATTAGGTTAAAATTTGTATTTCCAATAGATAAATGGCGGTGTGCGGTGTTTATATAACAAAACGGTAGCGTACCGGTGTGCACGCGGATGTGGTTGACGAGGCCGGTGCGGCGGCGGAAGGGCTTGGAGCAGTACTCGCAGCGGTAGGGCGTCTCACCGCTGTGGACCTTGCGGTGCTGGAACAGCGCGCTGTGCCCTCTGACAGACACACCGGACATACACACAGACAGACAATACGTTACACTTGAATGAATAACTATTTATTGTACACCCAAAAAGAGAAAAGGAAATACACAAAATATAGAAGAAGGTACAAAGGGCGACCTTATCGCTAAAACAGCTATTTCTTCCACGCAACCATTAGGTGTAAGAAATAGCACTAAGAATAAGTTAAATATTCATGAAATTAAAAGGCTGTGTTAGCCTAGTGGTAGCGCGCTGGCTCGAGACACACTGAACCTATGATATTTTCATGTGTGAATAATTTTTCATTTGTTATAAGTACCAATTGTTTTATTGGTAATAAAAATATTGTACGGAAAATTTTATGCCTGAGAGAAGCTAGCAAGTTTCCAGAAGACATGTGAAATTCATCATAATATGTGTTTCTTAATATGTGTTTCTTACTTAGGATATAATATTTAATTAAGTATTACCTAATGCATATTTATACAGGACCAGCTTGTTTATGAAATTCAAATGGTGAGTTGTATAATTTTTGAATGTATTTTTTTATTTTTTTTATTTTTTATAATTTATTTGTAACTACCTATTTCATGTAGCTGCATATGTGACTACAGTGCAACCGAAATTCGGTCAGAAGAATGTAAGAAATATTTGTAAAAAATTGTATATATCCATACTATTATAAACGCGGAAGTAACTCTGTCTGCCTTTTACCCTTTTACGCTTAATCCGCTGAACCGATTTATATGAGATTTTGTATGAAGATAGTTTTAGATCCTGGTAAGGACATAGAATAGTTTTATCTCAGAAATCATCCCTTAAGATAGTGAAAAGGGGGACGAATTTTCTATGGAGAATTAATAATTTCTCAAGTAAGGGATATAAAACTTATATATTTATCACATATTCTCAGATACTTATACTTTTGGTTAGAAAGAAAGAATGCTTCTGCATTTTTGACCAATCGAGTTAATTCAGGTATCAATTCAATATTTGTTTAAGAAAAGTATTTATCTACTTTTCTATACCTACATATGTGTATATAGTCCATCTATTCCGTACTAATAGTTAAAACATACCGTTTTAATATAACTTTCCATTACCAGAGTACATAATCATGTTCATGCAACCAGAGAAAAAGATTACTAACCTGAATGCCGCAGGACATTCTTTACACTTGTAAGGCCTGAGTTCCGTGTGGCAGATCTTATGAGCTTTCAAGTTACTCTTGGTAGATAGAATTTTCCCACAAATGTCACACTGATGCGGGGTCTTGCTTTCCGGAACAGGAGGCACTTCGCCCGGAACATGTTCTGCAATTAAATATTTCTATGAAAAGTCTAATATTATATCTAAACACATACTCGATATCTATGGAACCTGTCTATTGCATAAAATTGTCTTGTTGCTCTCATCTTTATGTTGCTACATGAATTCATTTGATATTCTCAATAGGAAATATATATGTGATTTCAATTCAATTTATCAACATTTTAAAGTATCCGCATCAGTAAGATATTTTAATATTTTTTACTAAATTATAGTGCTTTGGAGCTGGATATTTTTTTACAATTATATAACGATGTCAGCTATTGTATAAAAGATTAAAAAGAATCATGCATATTTACTATTTCTTTGGATTTAACACAAAATAAACTATTATTTAAAAAACTCACCTCTCTTCTTTCTCCCTCTTTTTTTCTTTACTTTTTCTTCTTGATATAATAAATCTGTAAAAACAAAAAAGTATTAGAACTAAATATTTGTGTGAAAGTCAGAAACTTGCATGAGAGGATTAAATTAGAATGACTTACCTTTAACAATATGATTTGTTTCCTCCTCATATATTAATTTCCTTTTATAAGTGTCCCAATAGTTATTATCTATGTTATTATCACTGTATATTGTTTCTGTAATTGTAAAAAATATATTTTACACATATTAACAATATACGGGGCATTCCACGCCAAATCGGATGGTTTCAAAAAAAAATATTATTGATGTTCTTAATATTTTGATATTTTTAGTACCTCTCAAGAGGCTTCCTGGTAAATTTTGAGATTTTTTTGATCACTGGTTCAAAACCGCTCGTTTTTTGGTTTTTTGCTTGCTTAATAATGGTCGAAATTCAACTTTTTTTTCAAAACTTTTGTTTTTGGATGAACTTTATAAAATATATATATATATATTAAAATATTTAAAATCTATTTAATCGAGATTTTTAAATTTTAAGTTTTTAATTGTGTTTTTAAAACTGTGTATATTCTTTGATTTTTTTGAAAATTGTCTATTTTCAACTTCTATCCAACATGTAACTTTTAAGCCCGATCCAGTAGTGGGCTTTCCATAATTACAAGTTTTTTTTTTCAATTTTTAAAAATGTATTTTTTCATTTGAGCAAAAAACCAAAAAAAGAGTGTTTCTTTTTGAAACTTTGATATTTTTGAACCAGTGATGATCAAGAAAATCTCAAAAATTACCAGGAAGCCTCTTTTGAGAGATATTGAAAAATGCCAATATATTAAGTAAGTCATATTTTTTTTGGAACTGTCAATTTGGTGTGTAATGACCCATACATTAATGAGATAAATAAATATACTAAATAGCTTTTGGAGGATTGGAAGAGGGATGAGGAAAGAAAATATAACATCACTTATGATACCTCTAGTGCTCTCAATCACATAAACATAAAATCTTGATATTCTAAATGATAGTAGTACTTCTTTGGTAAAGTCAGGCTACACAAGCAGTTGACTAGAATGAAATGTATATATGATAAACTGGAATAACTAGCGATAACAGAATATTAAATACCTTCAAAGGTCTTCTTAAGCTTTATTTCATGTAAAGCAACATTATCATCATCTGCATCCCAACTATCATTTCCTTCATTTTGTATATTGGGCTCTAAGTATTAAAAAAATTATTTTTCATAAAAAACTATTCTCTGGTAAGCAATTAAAACTTAATAAATGCATATGTTTTTATTAATTACCTAGTTTAACATCATAAGTCTTATCCTCGCTATATGTTATGTCAATATTTTCATTTTTAACAAAAGTATTTTCGCACTTAATATCATCAGGATCATCTTTAATGTCAGTGTCATCTGATTTGCCTACTGATAAGTTTTCTGAGTAGGACCTCAGAGTTTTCTCACTTTCTTCACATTGTAAATTAAAGGCATAAGTTCTTTTCAATTGTCGACTGCACTCTTTGCATATAAGACGCGGGAGCCCATCTTTTTCTAAGGGCTGCATACAATCAACCAATTAACAAGATATTTTGGTATTACAAATATAGAGAATTTATTAATTAACGTACCTTGACTTTAGTGCAATTTGATAACATCTCGCAGTACAATATGTTTCTTTTCGCATAATAACTAGTGAAAATATCGAATGTTTGTTTTTTTGACTCTAGACAAATGCGACATATGCTTTTAAAATCCATTGACTTCATAAAACTATTAATAGTTCAGTTTTTTACTTAATACTCTAAGATATGAATTACTGTAATAAGCTGTTTATTTATTTTTATTTTCAGAGAAAATTTTAATTGACATATGATAGTTATTTTGAGAGGAATTGACGTTGTTTGAAGCTTTTATTATTGTGACAAATTGACACTTGACAGTTGTCATCCTTTGGGGTGCTTTGGGGTATCACGCAAGATACTCTGTTATCGATACAACGATTGCAGTATCGATATTAATTTCATTTTTTCATAAAGTAATGAAAAAATTCTAAATCCAATTATTGAGTTAAAAAGAATTAGTGACTTAAAGTTACGATCTCTATTTATAAAAAACGATATAGTCTTTTAAAATGGAGCATCCCAATATGAATTTTATGAATGCGCATCCCAGCATTTTTACCGCTACGCTATTGATAAATACAAATTACAATCCTATTGAATTTGACAGTTAACGCTTGACGTTAGCAAGCTGTAAGCTAAAAATGTCGGATAATTAATATTTAATATTAATGTTATTATTATAATCATATAATAATAAGAGGCTGTGTTAATTAGAAGACTATTAAGTATTTACATGTAACAATGTCAGCTTTACAGAAGACCATTATGAAAAACAAATTACCTCCTAAAGTGCCGCGAACCTCAGGAGAATCCAAGTAAGGCCTAAAGATCTATATTGAATGTCAATTTTTACTATAAAATAAATTAAAAATCATTATCTATTAAAAAGTTTACAGAGAAAACGGAAGGCTTTATGTAAATGTTTTACTTTATAGACTCGCACCGTTTAGTGGAGGGCGTCGTAAAGACTATACACCGGTGTCATGGAAGAATTACTTTGAGAAATATGTTGACGTCGAAACAGAGGAGGGTGTGTTCAGGGTCTACTTATCTCCTGAACCAGATCATCCTCAGAGGCCAAGAATCGTTACATTACATGGTGGAGGTTATTCTGGACTGAGTTGGGCTTTATTCACAGTAGGTACAGCACAGTTGTACTGTCTTTTAATCATTATTTAAGTATTATGCTAGATTTAACCTAAAAACAACAAAAAGAAACCATAAGCATAAAAAATGTTATGTATAAAAAATTATGTGAACAAAAATGTTTACCTGACACACATTGAAGCCATTAATTAACAAGAAAATTGAATTGAAAAATGTTTAATTTTGATAATATTCCAATTCATACATAAATTGTTTGTGATTGATTTTTCAGGAAGAAATAACATCTATGATACACTGCCAGGTGGTGGCAATAGATATCAGAGGTCACGGAGAGACAAAGGCTAAAGATTCTGAAGATCTTAGTATTGATACTCTTGTTAAGTAAGATTATCCAATTATTTTCTAATATATTTCATTCTTAAAAAACAAGAAATTGGTGCTTTAACTCATGTACCGAGGGAGGTATAGGCTCTCCAAACATCATACTATGATATATAACATTTAAATTACACATTTTCAGGGATGTAGAGCAAGTACTACACAAACTGTTTGCACAGGAGATACCCCCAATAATCCTTCTTGGTCACTCCATGGGAGGTGCGATAGCAGTGCGTGCAGCACATTCACCTGTGCTCGAGCCCTTTGTGCAGGGTGTGGCTGTTATTGATGTAGTGGAAGGTCAGTTAGTTTAGAAAGTCAGCATGTTGAAAAGTACCAAAAGGAGTTAATCTAAGACTTAAATCTGAATTTTGAAATCTAAAACTGGTATTATAGTTTTCTCAATAGAGTAAGTTAATTGTTAAAATTGAAAAAAAAATGGAACAATTATAATGATTACGAAGTCATCTGTAACTTGTGAAATTTGTTGATATTTAAGTGGAAATAAAACTTATATAATTCACAATACATATTTATTGTTACATACATATATCTTAGACAACAGTGTCAGCTAAAGGAATAATAATGGAATTGAAAAAATGTCCAACCTTAAGTACTATATTTGAATTTTTCTTTTTCTTTTTTACCATTAAAAGAAATAATGTTTGTGTTTCTAATAGTTACTAAATTGAGTAAAAGTCTAGCTAATTTAGACATAGGTAGGCTTTTTCAACATCTTTTGTTGTGTTGTACTATTGTGTGAGTGCAGTGACTTCACATTAAAATAAAAAAAAAATAATTACAATAAACTTACTCAAATAGTTGCTTGTATCAACACTTTTGAATTGTAAATAATATACTTTTAATAATAATGTCAGTATGTAAGTCGGTGAGGAATTACCAGGCTGTTCTTTCGAGAAGAGCCACTGTGAAAGTTAACAGATGCTCTTTTCAAAAATAATACACAAGCTTATAATATTGCAATACAATAATTATTATGTTCTTATCCTACACGAGTACCAAGTTATCCCACATTTACATCTATAAAGTATTCTATGAGGGAAAATAAATATTGCAATACAATAATTATTATGTTCTTATCCTACACGAGTACCAAGTTATCCCACATTTACATCTATAAAGTATTCTATGAGGGAAAATAATATGCTTTGCTCAATAATAGACGACTGAAATAATAACGATACATGAGTTATGAATACCATGTTGTGTTTGATGTCCGCAGGTACGGCGATGGAGGCTCTGACAAGCATGCAGAGCTTCCTGCGCAGCCGCCCCACTCACTTCAAGAGCATCGAGCACGCCATCGAGTGGTGGTGAGTGTGACACAAGACACATTGATTCATACCTCACAGCATGTTTATATGTTCATATAAAACATCCCAAACCATTAAAAATATATAAAAAACGTGTTTAAAATATTTTTTTAGATCATTCCTCTAAATGCGAAGTCGACGTTGTGCAACATTTATATTCTCTATTTAAATATCTATTAGTATAGTTTAGATATATATTATACTAGTGGTTCACCTTTGCTCCGCTTGGGTTTGTCCCTAATCACGTATTAAAGTTTAGTATAGATTTCTCAGAGATTGGATATTTTCCTGCAGTAAAAAGTGTCTATATGTTGACCCGAATACCTAGTTTCAATCATCATACTAAATTTCATCAAAATCTGTCCAGTGGTTTTCTCATGATGTGGTCACAGACAGACAGATAGACAAAAATTCCAAAAACTATACATTCGGCCTCTGTATACATAATTAATTTTATTATATTTAGTTAAATAATAATAAATAATTTCATGCATGTTGTTTGTTTGCTTGTAGTGTGAGGAGTGGACAAGTGCGGAATGTGGCCTCCGCCAGAGTGTCTATGCCCAGTCAGATTGTTAAGTAAGTTGTTGAACATTTATATATTTGTTATAGGAGAAATAAATGATAGAGAAATACAATATGTTGTATGATATTGTTAAATTAGATAAAAATCTATTTTAGGTTTTACATTTATTTAATTTATTTAGAATGTGTGTTTGTGTATCTATGCTCAGATTTTACGATATTTCTATACCTCGGTGGTCTAGTGGCTAGCATGTACGGCTGTAGATTTGAAGGGTCCAAGATTAAATCTTGGGTGAGACTAAGTTCAGTTATTGAGTTTTTCTGATAAGAATTTCTTAGTAGCAGTCTGTACTTGGTAAGTTGACGGTTTTTACCCTCGTGTCGAGATGGAGTGTGTGTCGTGTCGGTTTTGCGTTGGACCTCGCACCGGTCGTGAATAAGATTAGAGAGAGCACTTGAGCCTGTGTGCACATAAACACACGTGCTTAACTATAATATCTTTTGAGCAGTAGGCTTGTCTCAGTGAGATCGACTACCATGATCAGAAACGGTCAGGAGGTCATTATTATTATAGCTAGGTAAAACTTGGTTAATCATATTATATACAATAAACCCCCAGCGTTGCGACGGGGCAGCTTGCTACCAACGAGGTGGAAGATTACCAGAGCGATGGTGACGCGCCCCCCGCGCCCCGCGCGCCCCGCGCCCTGCAGCCCGGCGCCATCGTGGAGGAGGGGGAAGGGGAGGAGGATGGGGAGGGCAACGGGGAGGGAGATGTTGAGGGGGACGTTTCATTCACGAAGCCGGCCATCGTGGAGGGGGAGAATATGAAGTGAGTGTTTGTATTTTTATTTTAGTATAAGAAGAATGTAATTGATTTCTATAATTAATTTGTTTGTTGTCGTCTATGTATTTTTTATTATTTATTTATTTTTAATAGATTATATTTCAAATGTTCTTATAAATTTTTTGTTGAAGTAAAACTTCTTTACGCACGTTTGACTTGACTTGATTAAGCTTGTTGCCATGGTAACCGTTGCTATTGTCTGACAAATGATATATAATATTATGTTCTTTCCTTTAATGATATTTAATAAATATAGGATTGTAAAACGACTAATATGAGTTATTATTTGTATCTCACCTATCCTAATTATTTAAAATATAAAAATTGAACTTCATAAAGAGTACCGCTAACCTACAGAAGTTTTACTTATTATGCGTGTACAGATTCATACACGCACTCTTTAATTCGTTTGCTGATTTTTTTGACAATTTTATTATATTTTCTGGTAACATTTCCCTTTATTATTGTGTGTGTGCGCGTGCAGGTACGCGTGGCGCGTGGCGCTGACGCGGTCGGAGGCGCACTGGGCGGGCTGGTTCCGCGGGCTGTCGGCCGCCTTCCTGTGCGCGCGCGCGCCGCGCCTGCTGCTGCTGGCGCAGCTGGACGGCCTCGACCGGGACCTCACCGTGGGGCAGATGCAGGGTACTCACTACTATACAATATACATATATTTATATTTTATTTATTTAATTCTTAAGCACAAAATGGATACAAGTATACTGCTTAAATCTAATAACAATTATTGTATAAAATACCGTGTCAAAATTGATACACTATCAAATACAAGGTATTCGAAATTAAAGCCCTGTACTACTAACCCCATACGAAATTACAGCTATAGCTATACAATTGACAACCCTAAATTTGCCTACCGATTGTCGTATAAAAGTATGTACGACAGTCGGGAACGCCATCCGGGGCTTTCTCAATATGATTTTTCTGTCTAAAAACTTTCTTTGAATGTTTGTACGTAGACTGCTTAAAGGTTTTTTTAAACATTTACAGACTGACTCAAGCTCAAACTAACTCAATGACACACTAACTTATATTACAACTCTGGCAACCCTTAAGCCGTTTCCCGACTGTTATATAAAAGTGAAATATGATAACCGGGAGCGAGTGCCCGCGTCTCTCGCCGTATTGAGAGCACAAACTAACCTCAAAACACAGGATTATGCTAGCACAACTGTCCGCACTTGAGCACTTATAGATTCATATATACACATAAACTTAGAGTATTTATAAAATTGCTATATCACTCATAATACCATTCGCGCACTTCTAAAGATGAAATAAAAAATAATATTATTAATATAGTAATAGATATATGAATAACAAGCGCTGTGTCCGCCAGGCAAGTTCCAGATGCAGGTGCTGACGCGCTGCGGACACGCCGTGCACGAGGATTCGCCCGCGGAGGTGAGAGAGACACTGTATTTTCTATTTGTAATAATGATTTGCTTGTGATTACCACACCATTATTAGCTCCTGCTTGTCTTACGGTGAAGGAAAACATCGTAAAGAAACCTGCATGTCTGAGAGAACTTAACAAGTTTTTGAAAGAAAGATATGTAAACTCCGCTAACACGCACTTGGCCAGCGTGGTGGACTATGGCCTAAAACCCCTCGTATTGAAAGGAGGCTCACACCCAAGAGTAGTACAGTAAAAGGGGTTGAATACATATTATCTCCACTTGTAATTAATTACTATGCACTATGTTGTCAAATCTTGGAAGTTGATTTTCGTATAGTTATTAAAAACTAGTCTGACGGTAAAGTTTTTTACGTCCCCCTTATTATTGGGAGGGGGTTGAAATTTGGTAAAAGCCGTCCAATAACTATAATTTTCAAAGTGTAAGGTATTTGTGGAAACGATATTAGATCATTTTAAATATAGTTAACCGGCCAGCCGGTCCTATTATCTCGTCGGTATCAATATTCTATGGTGGTAGGTGGCGCGCGTGCTGGCGTCCTTCGCGCTGCGGCACCGCCTCACTGTCAGCACCGACACCGACGAGCACTACCTGTAGGCGGGACCTTCCACTGTTACATTCAGCCTCGGGGAGGAAAAGGAGGTGAAGGAGGGAGGATATGGAGGAGGAAGTAGGGAATGGGGAAGGAGGTGGTGGGTGGGGAGTTCAACTGAGGCTTGCTCTTAGTGTTCTTACATTTCCTGACACTAGGGAAAGAGTGCACGACAAAACTACGAATTAATATGTATGTATTTCGATTAATATGTAGATCAATAATTTTTTTATTTTATTTTTTTCAGAGAGTGGATTCCATAATTACTTTTTTTTTAAATATACTCCGACTTCAAATTGGCTAGTGACAAATTCATCCTTTAGGGGTGGAGTTTTTGGGACCACCCTTGAGATTCTATTCAATAAAAATCTATTAATACAATGAATATCGATTCATAATTGAATAAAATGCTTGCAAAAAAACAAATGAATTAAATAACTTGACCTATTTGAAGTCGCTCAAAAACTATTTAAAAAGTGCAAAACCTTTGTTTCTTCATTTAACACGAAGTAAAACTTATTCAGAATCAACTTATTACCTTATTTTACAATTTAACAAATATAAATGCTTATATAAAATCAAAAATATTCAAATAATAGCTAAAAATTATTAATTTTTCTTTTCTATATTATAGTTCTAAACACTTCAAGTTGTATACAGTATTTTTTAAGAAAGTTAAATTATAATTAATGTCACTTGGGAGTTGGGATCCTCCTAGCTTAGGATCTTCTAAACTTCTTTGTTTTATTACATGAAAATATATCGAATATTATATACAACATGATAATTTTATTTCCAATTAAATTACACTTACACAATAATTTTCCTTTCACGTTATGTTTGCATATTAAATAATAGAAATATTATTTTTGTATAGTGAGTTATATTAACAACTTTCTTTAATAGGGAATATGCGTGTGATTTAAATTAAGGTGAAATGTCATGTTAATGATCCTATATCAATATTTTTTTATGTAATTTCCATTTGATAAAAAAAATTTTTATTAAAAAATGCAAATATAAGTTGGAAATTCAAAGTAGGTAAACGCAACATCATTGGTCAGACCACAGAGCAGAAACAAAGTAGAGGAGCCCTATTTCGTTGTTCAGATAAGAAGAGTTGAAGCCGGTGAGCGGGGGTGCGGGAGGCGTTACGCATTTGATTTTTGAAAAAACGCCATCTAGTAGCGAATAGAGAAACTTTTAAGACAAATTCTGCTATTTTGAATGGGCACGGACTCAGGTACTATGTGAATGGGGGGTCAGATCGAAAAACATTTTTTAATGGGAGCCGCGCCCCTTAAATATTTACTATTTATTTAATGTATAGACATAGACCAGTTGGAATTTTAATATCATCAGATAACCTTGTGCGAGATGTTCCGAAAAAGAAACAAAATGTATGGAACCTTATGTTTGTATTCAATATGTGTATGTATTAAATATTGGTTATTATGGTGGTTGGATTAAATAAAAGAAGGAGGGTAAATGAAATAAATTTAAAATGTATTTCAGTTTGGGTTTAATTTTATTTAATCTCCTGTGAACAGAACCGTCTTGTTAAAATGTTGGCGTTTTGTGATCCTACTATTTTTCGAAGTTGCAACATGCCTGAAACGGATATCTACATATTTTTCGCAAATTCCTTTACAAAGTTGCGTGATGTGGTTATATAAAGGTGGTTGTTCTTTCATATGGTTGTCTAGTGATGAGAAACAGTTCTCTCCGATCAGTGTTTTCATAGCATGAGATACAACTTTGTGTTTATTCCTCACTGTCTCATGTGCATTCAATGTTCTTATACTGCATTCCGTCCGAATACAAATGTTAATCACGTCATACGATGGAAAAATTAGGCCCCCTTTATTTTTCGTTTTAATTAAAAGATGATCCTCTGTGTAATCACACGTGTAGAGCGAATTGAGACACGTTTCACATTTCAACTTTTTCGTGATGTACCTGACAACATATCCACTGATGTAACTGATTACTTGTCGACGCAACATGTTTTGACATGTGTTGTTCAACATTTCATCAAATTCTATTAATATATCTTCAGGAATAGGCTCCTCTAAATTCATTCCTTCTTCTGGCATTCGACATCTGTCAGCAGTTATATTAATTTTTTCTATGGAAGTCATATTTAGGATGTGTAAGTCCTCCAAAGGAATGCAATTTCCGCTGAAAGAGTCCTTTAACTCCGATTGCACCAGATTTTTTTTATATGCCGATTTGAACTGGCGGGCTGTTGGATTGTTATTAGCTCGTCCGTGTGCTCTTATGATGCCGAAAAACAGTTCTAAATGATCTTGGGACAATTTGTGAGTTGTTAGGTATGACAATTTTTTTTCAATTTCTACTAAACGGGAGTAAAGATACATGGTACTGTCAATACAACTTATGAAACCAATAAAACCTGTTTTTCTGTTGGTGTTTACCAAGGTCTTGCTTTCGTTTTTGGCTGATAAATGCAGTAAATAATTTCTAGCATAACGGAAAAGCTCTTCTGTTTTTTTTATATTTCGTTCAAAAAGGGGTTTTTTGTATTCATATTGTGTCATGCTTCGGGAATTTAAAATATCAAACAAATTGTTTATTAAGCGAATAAACTCTGCAGTTGCTTGGACACCTGAAAACCTTCGATCATATTTCTCGCATGTTAGTAAAGCGTCTGCTACGCTGTTACTAAAAAGCTGGCTAGCTAGTTTGACTTTCATTTTCTGTCTGCTAAAGTCAAGATGAGCATCTTTTAATTTGTTCGCGACATGTAGTCCCTCACATTTTTGAAATTCGTTTATTTTTTCCAGATACGACCATTTAATTTCATTGCCTTGATAATCTATTAAAATCTTTTTGGCCTCAAATGCGTTTCTGACCAATTTTAGCATATGGCAAGCGTCTAGAATGACAACTACTTCATAATTTGCAGATGGATGTTTGAAAGTCGTGGTAAAGTTCGACGGGTCAAAAGAGCACCCTAGCTGTTTAGCCATACTTATGTTCGCGGCGCACCCATCCATCGTTAAAGAAGCTACTTCAATGCCACATTCATGACATTTATACAAACATTGCTGTACCAGTGAAGCACGTTGTTCGCCGGTCATGGAATGAATGAAGAAATAACCAACTGGAATTTTCCATCGCTGTTTAAGACATACTAATAACATTACAAGAACTTGGCTTGCTTCTTTAGCGTTGTCATTTTCTGTAACATTGGTACCTAGGTCAACGTAGCCGTGATATTTCTTTCCATCCCATTCGATGTGTTTCTTGATTGCCATTTCGTCCATCGTTAAACTGCAGAGTAAAGTTTCGTTCGATTTCGCAGATTTTACTTTCAATACGGAAAAAGATTCTTTCGTGAATCCTGGCTCTCCGTCAATATTCTCGTACCACTTTGCTATGGTACGTGGATGAGGCAAGCACGTATCGAAAGTTTCGCGGACGTATGTGTATGCTTTAGGCGAGTAATAAAAAAGCGTTAGTGCAAAAGCTCTTGTGGCTGGTGAATATTTTTTTGTGACAGGCCTGTTATTTTTTTTCGAAATACACCGTGTAACAATTTCCCTCACTTTGACATTCATTGATTTTAGTATATCCGCATCTTCCTCTTTTAATAAGTTCTTTTGTTTTAATTCGGTGATCAACGATTCCATTGTCATCACCTGTAACAATAATATACCACATCAGGAAGAGACAGTATCTAAATAGGTAGTATAATTTTTTTTAAATTGAGTAAAGCCCAATTTTCAGTTCGACACTAAACTTACCTTTTTCTTCAAACGCCGAAGATTTTGTCTCAGTCGCCGTAATTTAATTAATCTATTTTTGTCAATTATTTTTAATCGCGACATTTCTTCTTTTAAGAGTATTTTTCTGGGCGTATCTTTAAGCACTAAAAATTCATTCAAATCTTGCTTGTTGGATGGTCCAGGTATTTGATTTTGGTTAGAAATCTGCAACGAGACAAATCAATTTTATAACACATACTAATTTAAATAAACTGACAAAATGACATGAACAATAATTTCAATAAATGATGATATCTTTTCTGGAACTTTTGGGTAAGCACCTTCTCGTATTTTTTTGTAGCCTTTGTTTGTTTTTATGATGTCTTCTTTATCGAAGTGAAGAGAACATATTTTGCTGTACTTAGATGGTGTCCACCCTTCGCGATTGATAGAATGAACCCATTGGTTTCTTAAAATAACATCAGAGGGAAATCTAGAAAAAAAACACAAAAATATCTGTATTAGTATCAAGAACAAATAATTAAATTTATTGCCAGATTTTTTTAAACCAGTGCCATTGAATGGAATGAAAAGGATTTAGTAAATAATATAATAAAAAAAACTTCCTTTTTCTAAATAGCATTTGTACTAAAACGAAAGTAATTCAGATTAATCGGTTGAGGAGAACTGGTCTTAAATTTAGTTGCAAGATTTGTTTGTCCACACATACATACATACATACAGACTAACAGGAGAAATTAAATAAGAGTTTGTAATAAAAATATTAGCAAATTAAAAAAATCTTCCCTAACATGTATAGAATCAGTCATGACCCCCTACTGTTAACTCTATTTCCGCCCTTAATACGTCCCTGTACCTGTGCTGTACCTACTTCATGGCGTATTGCTAGTATTTCTACCTGGTACTAGATGGCGCTTCAAACAAGTTCCAGAATCTCTTCGAACATTCTAGAAGCAAATTGAAATAAAAATGTAATTTAATACTTACGAGTGAAACGATACTTTGTTTCCGTCAACATTATTTCGATCATCTGTATAACTTTTACATCCAATAACGCAACACTTCATTTTGCACCGGAAAACACAGAAACGAAAATTTACGGAAACCAATACGCGTGCACACCAACCAAGAATAAGTTGCGTACTGACGACAGCGCCCCCGAGCGTGGAATGGCTTAACAAAAGACTCTGTGACGTCAGGACTACATTGATGCAAGCTAGACTACATTGCTTAGAACATCTCTACTTTGTTTCTGCTCTGTGGGTCAGACCGAATGTGACAAACGACTCTAAAGATGCTAAAAATTGTTTAAGCAAAAGTCGCCTTTTAGCGACAAAATCTCTAAATTGGCAACACTGTCTCTGTTATTATAGACTGTGACGTCACGCCGAGAATATAATTAAAAAAATAAACTAAATTTTAGTTTTTTTGGAGCTGGTTGTTTTTATTACAACTATAGCGATAACAATAAAAGCTCTTGTATAACAAAAATCACGCATATTTATACAACTTTTAAAATCTGTTAGCTTCAGTTTGTAATCAAATAATATTTACATAACTTTACATTTCCCGACGCAAGAGATTATTTCTATTTTAAAGAAAAATAAATATTTAAACTAAATTAAGATATAATTTATTTTTTACGCAAATAGCTTACATTTTAGAGATATTCTTTTTAAGTCGAGAGTAAATAATTTTCATTCATTGTTCATAGTAATACTTATATGTATGTATGTACTTACTACGTGTTTAATATTAGTGAATAGCTTCATCTAATAGTATTTTCATTTCTAATACGTAATTTTATTTGTATTTAAATAAAGTAATAGTTTTTAGTGTAATTTGAAAGGTTTATTTTCTTCGTAGCTTAGAGAGAGTATAATGTTTAAAATAATATTTGGAAATTTCAGAGGCTGAGGTTTTGAATCATCTATAAATAATGCAACCAAAACAAAATTCATATTTTGGTACACTTGTATTTTGACTCCATATATTAATCGAGATAAAAATCGATATTTACAATAGTTTTTCAATTCGAATAAAAAATCGATTTATTTTCCGTCCGTTTTGTTTACTTTTAAATAAAATGTATTCCACACTTATGTAAATGATTCGTTTTAATTTAACGTTTAAATTATTATTAAAATAGTTTTGTTAATTTCGATATTAATGCAAATATGTAAAATTAAAAACCCTCAAATATCTCTAGATATATAATAAAAGTCGCATTTTTTTGGTCAAAATATAAAATATAAAGAAAATGTTATAGATAATTTTCAAAATAACTGATATATTTCGACGGCAGTTTTGCAGCAACAGCAATACATATTTATGTAATAAGTTTTTATTAGCAATAAATAGTAATAATTTAAAGATCTCTCCGCACTTGCTTAAATGTCTGATGTTTTGGTGTCATCTATAAAAAATTCTTATTAAGTATAGATTTCTTGTGCTAACAGATTTATTTGTTTGGTAAACTACTGTTAAATAAGCTACTGTTTATTCATTTTCTTATATAAAAATAGTATTTTTTTTTAATTCTAATATAGTTTTAGGGGTTCAGTACCTGCTGAGAGGTGACTCTGGCTTCTTGTTGTGACTATACCTAGTTCTACTTTAGTGTAGTTTGTTTATGAACAGAATTTTATTTGTAAAATATTCTTAATAAAATGTTGTGAACTGGTGAGCTTTTGATTTTATTATTAATAAAGTGTTTTGCAAATTTTTGGCATAATTTTAGTTTCGCCTGCAATGAGACTTATAGCATAACTAGAACACTAGGTAAGGAGTGTATTTAAGAAGAAATCAGCTCGCTAAACCATAATGTACCAAAGATATTTTGTTTGCTATTCCTTTTTATCAAGCGTTATTTTTTAATAAATATATTCTTTAGTAGCGAAAGAAAAAAAAATGGTGCCACCGCTCCATACAAAAGCAAGCGTTGTCCTTTTATGATAGTAAAAAAATATTAAAAGTAAACGTTTCTCAACAAACCTAAGAGTACTGAAATGAGAAGATTCGATGTGCTCAAATAAGACGTGCATATGTACGAATTATTCTTTAGTCAAATTATTTTTATTTATAAATAATAAATATGCATACCTATCTATATTTATAATTTACTTCAACCTCATTAAAATCGTGACAGTAAATGAATTCTGTAGTCGATGAAGTGATGATGATTAAATTTAATTTAAAGAGAATCAGAAAGCGGAGCCCAAGAGAAATAGGCCGGCTTTAATAGTAGGTACTGTCACAGACACAAGTTCAAAAGTGCTTATATTAAGTCTAATTGAATAAATCCACTAATACAAAGAAATTGGCCGGCTATTTTGGGTTAATTGATTTAGCCTAAATAGACAATAGATGGTATGTATCCTAAAGAGGCCGTAATATTTTACTCTATATAAATATGTGCACTCAAATCACAAATGTGTAACTAATAAAGAGCTTGTAGTCAGGATAAAGCTATACATATAATAAAATTCTAACTAAGTCGAATCTGTACATTAAATATTTTTTGGAAAATCTTATTGAAATAGTCATTATTATCGATGCAGAGGCCGAATATATTGAGAATTTTAGTTTTTATTAGTTTGAGAATTTTTGTCTGTCTGTCTGTGATGCCATTACGAGAAAACCACTGGACGGATTTTGATGAAGTTTGGTATGATGATAGCTGGTTATTCGAATCAACATATAGGACCTTACTTTGGTGCGGGAAAATATCTCATCTCTAAGAAATCAATAATAAACGTCAAAACGTAACTAGGGACGAACCCGAGCCGAGCGAGGGTGAGTCGCTAGTAAATCATAAAATGCTAACATGCCATCTATGAATAGGAAGTACAAACTTATTACTTGTTGGTTGGTATATCAACAGTAAAATTGTGAAACTAAATAAAACACAAACATTGTCAACACATTTTATTCCAGTAAAAAGCGTAGAATCGTGGCATTAGCGGCGTCCATTTCTATGAACATCATCGTATTTTTTAATAAATAACCGGTTCCAAAGAACTAAGTAGTAACTTAACGCAACTGACTAGTCAATACGATCACACGCCTTCGTTTTAATTAATATTACTATGAGTTCTGCGCATGATATTTCTTCTACGACAATTTTTGTTGTTAGTAACAAATAAAATAGAAAATGGCAATACAAAACGGCCTATAACATTTAAAAAATGTCTTTTTTTTATAATCGACTTAAAAAGGGGATAGAACCTTTGTGGTAAGTTAACGTCCCGCCATTTTAATTTTTTCCTTGTCTTACGGCGCACAATAAAATTGGTATAAATGAATAGAAGATATTGAAACAAACAAATAAAAACATAATAATATGGTGTCCTAAAGTGTCACATATCCAAGCTATTTGAAAGTAAAGATCGTTAAATGAAAACGATGATAAACATTAAAAACAGAACTAATTACTTAAAGTGTATTTTAAAGTTCTCAAATACCTCAAAATATTTCAAAAATGACATTAAGGATACCAAATTACTCGTATTTTTTGCTTATCTGTTTTCAAAAATTAAAATGGCGGCGATTTGCTAATGACAGATTTAAAAATATCTTCAAACCCTTTTTAAGGATCGTAAAGATATTTCATGCACGATTCAAATACATTTTTTAACTAATTTAGATGACTAATTTTGCTTATTTTTTGGATTGGATTGTTTATACAATAACTGGTAACTATATGTATGTTAAACACACAATTTCGTATAAATTCCATCAAATGAAACATCTATAAATAACAGAGTGCAAGCGAGCTAGAGTAACGTAATACTTTGAATCACAACATTTTGTCCTCACTTATACCTAATAATAATATAAATTGTGCAGGATCGAATCTTCGTTTGTCCAAAATTATTAATATGGTATTACAGTATAATCATTCTCAGTAAGAACAAAACCAACTTTAAAAAAAAGGAAGGATTTTTTCCCTCAAAATATAATGTTAGGTATGTTATTTGTGTTGTTGGTATAAAGCACTGTTTTTGAATCCATAACTATGAAACGGCAAACTACATCTAATCATTGGTGACAGACACATCACAAGCGCTTGATATCACGAAGTTAAGTACAAAATATAAAATATTAAATAATAATAATTTACAAAAGCCACTAAATAAAACAAGGTTTTCGGATTTTTTCGCCGATTTACTTAGATTCGGGAACTAAATTCCCGACGTTTCGAATGCTTTACAGCAATCATGGTCACGGGAGAGACTGATGATTGCTGTAAAGCATTCGAAATGAAAACCAAAAAAATCTAAATAAATCCGCGAAAAATCGAAAAACATACGTTTTATTTCAAATGTTAAATATACGTGTAAATCTAAGAAAAACAATAATTAATTTTAGTCCCATATAGTTATAATCTCTGCCTTCACTCGCGGGAGCTGACGATATACAAAAACATTCTAAAAAGAGAATTTACTAGATAACATCAACAAGGCACAAAATCTATGATAAAGTGTCATTTTTACATCATTTTAATTCAATTATTTTAGAAAAGGATGCTGTGAGATTAGATATTTGTGCAAATATTGAGATGTGAAAGTTGCGATTACTAAATAATTCTAATATATAATATATTAATAAATATTGCTTCAAAGCTAGAGTATAATTAAAAAAGTGTCAGTTTTGTATTCAAATAGATTGTTTTTATAATATAATCCTTAGAGGATATTAATATGGCGAAGTAAATAAATAAATGTAATTCTAAATAAATAAGAATATAAGCCAGTGACCGTACTGCACTATGACGTCACAACAGCGTGCGAGTGAATGTTTACTGTACGGTGTTCACATTCTACAATCACTATCGATAATAGAAAACTATCACATATGACTATTCTTTGTCTCGTGGCTTTTAAGCGCTTTAGATGAGCAGTTTACAGCGCCAATGGCGCGCCGAAAATAGAAAACTAAACAATATATAAAAATGACATATCCAAGAGTTACGACTCACGTCACGTGATCAGAATATGTCACTCACGCGTATTTTTAACACACTATTGTTTCCTTCAATTTTGGCAATTGATTTTAACTTATTTCTTATTTTTCATGATCTATTAATTTAAAAAGTTGGATATGAAATCCAAATATAAAACTCCAGATAAAAATCATTTGATTCACACGTCTAAAGTCTTATATTACCTACAGTTATTCAAAAGCGTGTTTTCTAATATAATATAAATTATAAGTTTTCTATAACGGTATCGATTATAGAAGCAGCTCGCAGCTCGCAGCTCACACGGAGCTCTTCATCTCCTGCTTGACGCATCCCTTGAAGGCATCCCACCCCTCGTTCTTGGCGTACGACTGCAGACATTACAAACATAATGGGTAATACATCTCAAAAATAAGTAAGAAATATACACACGCGTATACACAAACTGTTATATTTATAATAGTAAGTCAATATTTACTTCATGAAAACAATATTTGGAGCCAAGAATATTTGATACTTGACAGCTATTAGAGCAATTGTTCGGTTTCTCTTGGACACCTTTTCCACCTTTTCCGCCGGCTCGGAAAGCAGAGAACTGCTTTTCTTTTCTGCCGCTCTTTAAATTGACGATTCAAAAGTGCTTGTAATAAGTCTCAGCAGAAGCTGAGAAGAATTGACGAGACAAGAGAAACTCAACAGTTGTTCTTTTAAATATCGAAGTTACATTTATTTTATTAACATAACATATGAGTCAATATATCTAAATTCCGCACATTTCCATCAACAAGAAACTCTTGAACAGTGTAACTTTATCAGAACAACGTGATCACCTTGAACCCGCGATGCAGACGGTCCTTCATGATGGCGATGAACTCCTTGTAGCTGAGGCGGCCGTCGCCGTCCGCGTCGAAGATGGCGAACACGGTGGCCACGAGGTGCGCCGACTGCGACTGTCCCGTGCAGATCTTCACCGCGCGCTGGAACTCGTCTGTAAGACACGAGGATCAGAGCTCGTCAGAAATGAGGGTAGAGAAGCCCATGTCAGGGCTTCAGGAATTTGTTGTATAGCAGGGGCAGGGAATGAGTAATGACCCTGCGACGTTTCATTAAGACGGGGGAGGTTCCGTTGGGTTTCAGTGGATAGTAGTGGCTTCGCCGGTGAGTCCCACATAACTACCTGTATGTATGCAGGGTGTCTCTACTGTTCTCATTCGAAGTTAGTTATTAAAAATAGAGTATTTTTAATATACAATACTACCTAAGGATCCGATATAATAAACTTTCGGTCTAATTATATCAAAGGAGCATCGTACATATTTTGGAAACAGAAATTAAAGAATAAAGTCACGAGTATTAAAATCCAGAGAGCACAGGTGAGCAATTCACGATCCAATAAAGTGCAATGTCCGCATCGATTAATGTCTGTTCCAACCCACTTTGCTAAAAACATATACTTATCTAAATTGAAGCAAAAAGCTAATTATAGTATTGTTATTTTAGAGCTTTATCAAACATAATAGATATCTCAATTATAAGGTACGTTGAAGGACACAACCCTAAAATCAGAGACATTGCTATTATAAATTCCATAATTATATTTTTTCCAAAGTAAACAACAAAAAGCAAACCTTTAGAGATGGGATGGTCGGCGAGCGTGTACATGCGCATGGCGATGGTGAAGTCTTCGAGGTTGTTGAGGAACTGGCAGAAGGTCTTGAACTCCTGGAAGGAGATGCCCCGCACGCGCTCGCGCTGCAGCAGCCGGTCCAGGTACATGTCGTAGGAGTCCGTGTCCAGGTAGGTGTACCGCAGCAGGATCTTAGCGAAGTCCACCTCCGAGATCGTCTCATGGCCTGTCGAGTTGCGGACTTCTTTTTATGTCTACCTATTAAGTTTTATTTGGACCTTGGCCTTTTATTTGGCCTTTTCTTCCTTCCAAATGAAATCATAAGATTCCTTATTAATTTTAGAAGTTGTTTCTTTAGTTACTGCGCTAACCAAGTTAGTTTAAAGTACAAGTGGAGAGGGGGGGGGGTCTCATAAGCGTCCGACTGTTCAGCCAGAGGCGAAGTCAAGAAACGCACTGGAAAGTGTAACGTGGGTAGCTCCTGGTACTTCTCTGACAGCAGAGTGGACTGTGGAGCAACCCCAACTGTATATTTACAGGTGGTATGCGTAAATGCATTAAAAAAACCACATAAAAAAAAATGTTCTTCAGCATCAGGTCTTATATGTATTACCTTTGGAGAACTCGTGGAATTCGAGCTCAAGCACTTCAGTCTGCAGGTTCTCCATGAACTGGCGGAAGCCCTCGAATTTCAGTTCGTTCGTGCCTTTCTTGCCAAAAAAATGCACCTACAGATAGAAATTCAGTTTTCTTAAATTTAAGGTTGTATATTAATTATTAATTGTATTTTTTTAAATTCCTAATTAAATACTTATCACAAAAAATGCCTAAAAATTTATTTAACTGATTTTAGATCAGGTAAAAAGGTGCCAGTAATATTTCATAATATATCAGTTATAGAACTGATATAAATTATATGTTTGTATGTGTGACTGTCTTGACGGTCTAGTGGTTAGCGTATAGTAGTTGCAGATCCAGATAATTCTTGAATGAGAATGTTCTGTCAAAAAATTATAAGATTCAGCTCGGTGATGGAAGGTTAGCGGCGTTATAACCCCGTGCCTCAGAGAGAGAGCACGTAAAACCATCGTTCCTACGCCTGATCTATCACGGTCGTGTTGAATTGTCGGAGTTTGAGAGTGACAGGAATAGAGAGTGTACGTCGTGTCTGTGCGCACACAGACTATATCTCCTGGCTAGTCTCAATGAGAATGACCGTCTTGGCCGAGTTCGGTCAGGACATCATCATGTACATATTCATTATGTATGTATAATGTACACATTATGTATGTACGTGTGTACCTGCAGCAGCGTGTCGACGTCGTGCCGGCGTTGCAGGCCCTGGTCGTCGGGCGCGTCGGCCGCGGCGCCGCGCTTGCCCGCCCACGCGAAGCTGAAGATCTTCTCCATCTACACACAGACATACAGACATACATTACTTTATGTTATATATTTGTGCGTATATATTAAGTTTTCGTATAAGTACAATCGTACAAATGGTTGACATTGAGTTGTACATTTTAAAATTGCATTAAGCTGTAACTATCTGAATATGTAATCTGACTCATTAATAAATAATACAACTAAAAAATAATTATGAATCTATATTACATTACATGAAGAAAAAATGAGTAATAGAACTGGTGTATATATACATTACTATTATAAAGAGGAAAGATATTGTTTTTGTATGTTTGTAACGAATAAACTCAAGAACTACTGGACCGATTTAGATGAAAGGTAAGAAGTTAGTTTGATACCCTGGGAAGAACATAGAATATTTTTATTTCGGAAATCGTTCCTTAATGGGGTGAAAATGGAGATGAAAGTTTGTATGGGGAATCACCATAGGGACGACGGATGTGAGTCGCTAGTGTTTATATTTAGTCGTATTCGTGATATAGTACAGTAGAAGTATCTCCCTCCCATTCTCATCAGGAAACAGAAACCATTTATACGATTATGTAGTTAATTAGGTATCGATTAGGTATCGATCACATATAAATCAAATATTTTATGTTTAAAATAATTTAGATTTGATTTTTTATTATTATATTATTTTTACATTAATATAAAAAATGGGATTTAGTATGTTTTAGTTAAACTTATTAACATTGGAGTTTAGCAGTAATATTGTATGTTAGCGTGAAGCCACTCGTAATGTTGCAATTTTATCGAATATCTGTGAGAACCTGTTAAACACTGAAAATATAAAAATTGATTAATATATTTTAAGCTTAAAATTAAAATACGATAAATAAATATGAACTCTCATAAAACATTTTACTTTTTTATAAAAAGCATTTTAACAGTATAAAAGGAAGCCACAGGTATTAATTAGCGTAAAGCGATATATTAAAAAAAAAAACAAATAATAAAACCTAAACGAAGCTCTGCACATTTAACATCAACTTACAAGTGAAGGTGATACGGGTTTGGTTTCGGCTTGAACCACCTTCTGTTTCAGCACAATCGACGGGACTAGACCTTGCAACTACAATATATTCATCTAATACACATGTTACATATAATACATAATTTAAATAAAAATAACTATATAAAGCTGTACAATACAAGATAATAATAATAGAATATAAAATAAGCAGAAAACAAAAGAATTTAGAAAAAGAAAAAAATAATATTGATTTTCTGTGGTTGGTTTTGAATTTTGTCATCTGTGACCGAAATGATTTAATGCCATTATGACAGTAGTTTGGGATGCAAGAATGGCAAGCCATTTATAAAATAATATATTTTTTTGTGACTTTATGTGACCAAAAGTGTTTCCCTGAGACATATGAATAAATAAGCCCAATATTCTAACCTTCGATCAAGATTTCTAGAAAATATAAGCCTTAGCCCAAAAGGAAACTCCTGATTGCAATATTTGTAAAAAAATTTGGCACAAGTCGTGAGCAATAATTTCAAATTTTTAATTTTAATAATACATTTGTATAAGAATAAGATTATAGAAATGGGTGATGATTACACAGGGACGAAACTCGAAAACACTGATGCCCTTAATACAATTTTTTCTTACAATCTTATCACACCAATATTTAAAGAAGGTTCGTGTGAATTAATATGTTGAGTGCTTCTTCAGTCTGGAATGGCTTAACAAAATTGAACGAAATTCGAAATTGAGATTCGAACACCAAGTTTTTTTTTTTAAAAAAAGCTCACAAATCAATTTAGATCGGTTTCAGATAAATGGAAAATAGCAAGACAATCAGACTTAATACAATCACTTTTATATTGAAAAATTGTACTAAGGGTCCATTAAAATGTTTAATGTACATCAGCTGAGTAAATGCGGGAAAATGAGATAAAATTTAAATTTAGTCTGTGCTCACGTCAAATGCCGGTAATTAAATGGAAATGAGAGACAGAAATGGCAGAATATAAACGAATTAAACAAAATAAGTCCGTCCACTCACGGCTCTCTCGCTGTTCGCGTCGAGCTCGCGGTCCTTCAGCGACCCGCCGAGGAGACGTTGGATCTATTTACGTTATGTTAAAACAACTTAAGTTTAACATAAAAATATAAATAATAATAAATAAAAACATTACAAATTAAAATATATGTATGTAAATATATAACCTATAACAAAAATGCATCTTAAATTATAAAAAGTCTAATATAAAATTATTATCTACAACTAAAGTGCAATTATAAAAGAGCAGTGCAAATATTTTGGTATGTAGATAAAAAACACAAAAATTATTAAAAAAATAAGTACTTATATGACCCGTTCCAGTTTCTATTGGAGGTCATTTAAAATCTGTGCATAAGCAGGCACTAGCTGTGCTGTACTAACATCCAAATATTATTTAAATTTACCTACAAACAGGCTTTGTTTATTTTATTGATGATATATTTTTACCTTCATTGTAAGATGTCTTCTATTCAACCGAAAAGTAATTATGATGAAAATTATGATGGTCTTATATACATTTGCTGTTTTATTACAACCTATTTTTTTTAATCGATTTTGCTGGAACTACTTTATGCATGTCTCAAAAATGTAAGCGAATTAGAATATTTACTTTTTTTTTAAATTCCTTTAACTTTATTTCAGGCTATTGAGTAATTATTGTAGTGTGGAAATTAAAAGTACTAAAGAGCGAATGTGAATGTGAGCTATCTATAGTACTTCAGTCGTTCACTTTCATTCACACTTCGTAACAAAAAACTGTTGTGTTCAATTACTACAAAAATAATATAAATTTTAATAGATGTTATAATAATTGCAGCTTTTCTCTATTGTTTGTTACACTATTCTTATAAAAAATCCATTCTCTTTATTTAGCTTCACTCATCGCTTGACTAATCGTGTGCTGTATACGAATGTGTATGACTTGTACGAGTCACTTACGACTAGAAACTCATTTTTGTCGACGCGCTGGTTGCCGTCCGTGTCGAACATGTTGAACGCTATCTGGAACCCCGACGCCGGCTCTGGAAATAGTCAGGCGAACAGCTTTTTTTGAGTGTAGTCGAGAGTGCGTCGAAGGCATTAAATGCTTCTTTCTAAACCACTGATGCTCTGTAAGCAGTCACTTGAAATTTAATATTTATTTAATATCACATATATAATTATGTATCTCACTATATTAGTCCAGTCAAATAAGGTCTGAAATCCAAATTTGGCCCTCAACTTTGCATTTTTGATATAATGTAGTTTTAATGATACAAAAATAATGTGTAAGGTTTTCGTGTCATTAACCCCCGGCAAGGGTTGAAAAAAAAATTTCAAAAATGTTTTTTTACTCAAAAACGGTAAAAATTAGACAAAAAAGTTTTAGTAAAAATGTGTAGAGCTTAAAATTTTCATAAAAAAAGTATCATGACTTTTTCCTCCGGTCAAAATTAACCGGTTGTGGAGGTTTTAAGTTTAAGGGACGAACGAGGATTATTAAAATTCACTTATGTTTCTACTAACTACGATTTTTTAAAATTTACGTTTACGTGATTTAAATTTAATTCTGTCATTTGTATTTATCAAAGAATAAATATTGGTGTACTTAACACAATGTTTTCACTTTCTACCATTAATTGTAGGCCATCATCACGTATATAAAAATGGCGCTATCTTAGCATATTTTGTCTTTATAGACCAATATTGTGTTGAAGTACTTACTCGTTAAGATGGACAGCAGAAACAAGTACTCCGTGTATGAAATGATTCCTGGAATATAAAATCAATATATTAGTTTAATAACAAGGCTTAAAACGTAATATTTAATACAGTAGGGGTAATATTTTTTTCCATAAATATATCCATAATATTTGTCCCATAAATCTGTCCCGGTGGTTTGCTGTAAAGCATTCGAATCATCGAGGACAAAAAAAGAGAATAAAATAAAATTGCAAAAAATATGGAAGAAATAGCTTCTATAACTACCTTTATCCCTCATATTGCGGAACATCTGCGAGGAGCCCTTCTTCAGGGACGGCACTTGGTCGCGCAGCTGCTCTATTTCTTTAGCGGTCAGGATCCGCCGCTTCAAACGTGCTGGAAAGTAACATTGGGATTTTTTGTTGAGCTTATGTTGTGTTCACATTTGATAAGATGGTTTTTATAAAAATAATGAGAGAAGTAAATCTTCAAAGCTAATGAAAAATATATAGATCCTTCTATTATTTCTTTCTTCTTTTTTTATTCTTTTTTTCTTTTATTTTTTCTTTATCTAGATTTATTATATTAAAATATAAAATAGATATCCGTTTTTGAGACAGAAATAAATACGTAAATAATTTGAAATAATACGGAAACTCAATTGGGATATATGTTTGTAGTTTACAATAAAAAATAAAGCTAGTTTAGATTTATCGAATAATTGTTTTAATATTCAGTAAGCCACGAGTCAGTAGGTGCGTACCTTATTCGCTTATTCGTAACAAATAATCCCAAAAATTATAGAAGGTAGTATCACTCACGCCTAGGTTCCTGTTCCACCACGGACTCCAGGAAGTCCTGCGGCGTCATGTACAGCTGTCCGCCGTACTCGACGCTCGCGAACTTGATGAAACGACGCTCTCGAGATGTCAGCTTCACCGATTTCACCAATTCTTCCGGTTGCTGTAATCAAAATTTAATATAATTAGAAGAGAGAATATATGTAAGCTTTATTTACACATTTTTAAAGAAATCAATTTGTGAAGTGAAATGGATTAAATTACAACTTATATTACAGAATACACTACAATTTTCACGTCGAATAAGATTAATTAGTCATCTCTTGCTGTCATTGATACATGCACTGAACTGTGTAGTCTAGAACTTTAGTGAAAGTAGAAAGTTATATTCTTGATATTATAATATAAAGATTAAATGATCTGTAGCGATTTTAATATGATTTATGTTATTATTTACAAGTTATTTTCGAGCTTAACACGCACACACACACGCACACATACTACATACGCACACATACACACACACACACATACATGAACACATACACCTCTATAGGTTAAAATAATAACACATCGTCTCTTTTTTCTCTTTTTTCGTGACCATCGTCTGACCGCAACCATCAAGCAAATAGATAGTCGCTGCAAGTTGCAACCATGATCACGACCTTGGTCATTGTGTATTTCCACCAGTAACAGTTCATGTGTGTCAATGAATTCGACAATTGTGGTCAGGCGTGTTTCATTTTAAATAATAAAAGTAGAATTATTGTCTATAAAACACAAAGTTTACATAACAGTGAACTATCTATCACCAGTGAACGTTACAATCTACAACTGAAGCGTTGTAATACACGCGGTAACCCCGTTCCGTTTAGTTCAGTAAATCATTTTAACGACTCTATTAATTTCTTAGTACATACAACTACAAATCCTGACCTAGCCTTGTTTTATTTTGAAGGGCAATTGTGCTCGATAAATATCTTACACAGAGACGCGAGACCGACCCTTTTATACTAATCCTAGCTAACTAACCTTATGTGCTTGTTCCTGTCACACAACTAGCTGTAGAATATTTAACCGACTTCAATCTTTTTGTAATTATGTGTATGTCAGAATGTGTATTTCAGAATTCTTTTTCAATAATAGGTAAATCAAGAATAGTCTCGTATAAATAAAAAAAAAGGTTAAGTGATTGAAGTTGGTGTGCTTATCTTTTCAGTAAAACATAATTTTACACTTAGATCGAATAAGAAATGTCGAAACCCCATTTTTTTTTTCATTTATATGTTACGAGTACCTACTAGAATCAAGATAGTCAAATTGTGAAGTTACCACTTGCACGGAATACAGTTCTGCTAACAAAAATCGATAAAAAAATTATTTTACAACGTTGTAGAGAAAGTGAAGCATAAAATAATACACGTGGTCGTCTAACGAGAAGAACATTTTCAATGGAGTCTAATGGGTGACAGAAATAGCATCGAACCCACTGTCTTTGGCTTCCTTCCGAATATTTTGGTCGCGGAAAACTCGCGTCGAATTTCCGCATTGTTAATTTTATGATTTAAATAGATTTTAAGTGGGAGGTCCGAGTGAGGGCAGGGCGGCGTTGCGGTGATGTACATTGTACATCGTGTGTCTAATCCTCTTGAATTGTTTTTTTTCTTTATTGGCTTATATTTGCGTTAACAGACGCAATCCATCCTGTCAGTGTCACGTTTTGTGAGGAAGACACGAATGAGATTGAGCGGTAATTTTGAAATTTGGTAACTTTAATGTGGAATTAAAACTGTATCAATATCAAATATATTATAACATATTTTCGACAACTGTCAAGAAAAGAATTACGAGTCAAGAGTACAAGTCATTGAAGAAGAAACTTAAGATATTACTCAAGGTGAACTGCAGCTTGACTAGATATGAATACAAACAACCCTATATCCCAGAATAAAATTGTAACACCTCTAGGTAAATTTCTAAGGAATTAGTTAAATTTCTAAGAATCTATTGTTAACTGTAACGCCGGCGTGTCCGCGGTCGTGGAGGGATTAAATATATGTTCTAGATCACAAGATCACGATCACGAAGATCTGCTTTAATGTGAAGACAAAAGTTTCTACCCGACAAAGGCACCGACAGCACTACAGTCTACACGCGTCACCCGCGGGCCCGCAATGGCATAGCCGCTCGGTCAATCTTTCAGATTTATACCCGGGGGGTTAATTTATCTCTATATTGTGACAAAATGGCTATTAGGCAAAGTCGGATGCGATTTTATAACCCTTGATTTACGACGCCGATAAGAGAGCGCTTGATTTACTACGGGGTTGTTTTTATTGCGTGCATGATATATGTATCGGTATCCATACTCGTACTATACCTGGTGAGTATTTGGAAACCTTTTCTATTGCTTAGTTTTATGAATTTACCTTTAGGATTTCTTTATTTTGGCTTTTAAATGCTATTAATTATGTCTAGTTAACTTCTGAGTGTTATAAATGGATCTCGCAAGGATTTTGGGGTTCCATCGTAAAATTTCAAATTATTCATTTAATATTATCTTGACGATCTAATCTATATCTAATTCAGTTGAAGTTTTAGAATCATTATTAATAATTACTACATTATTGGGGATGATTCTAAAAGTACCAAAATTTGGAAAATGAGTTTGTTTGTTACTATTGATGCGTTTACTCCTAAAACAGTCGTAGTTGACCACGAATGTTTTGATAGTTTAGATTATTAAAGCACATACTGATTTAATCATTGAACATTTACTCAGTTATGTTTTTTTTTATTTTAACAATAATTTTTACTTTTCATAAAGTAATAAAAGTAAGCTTAGCTAGAAAATTAGCTAAGACAGAAAAAAAACCGGAATTAAAGATTAAAGGAAATACTTATTTTATTCAAGCTCTTGAGTTATTTGCCACTATTAATCTGTGTTATCTGTTATTATCCAAAAAAATCATTTTCATCTTTACACTGTTAGTGCCGTTACCACTTCCGCCGCTTAATCGAACAAATAATCGATTTGGAATCCTATGTTAGAATATCTCGGATTTACTAACAAATTGACTTATAAACGCGATAAAAATTTACTACGTCATAATATTTATATTTTTATTAAATACGATAAAGAATGTTGGGGGACGCTTGTACATTTAACTGCGGCGAATGATTAATTTTAGAAACAATAAATAATGTGAAGCGAAAAATTATTAAATATCCCGTCTAATTGGTCGTTAAGCCATTGGAATTCAATGTAACTGATATTTATAGTGTCCTTGCGCGTTAAGTCATTTATATTAGAAAATATGATTATTTCATATACCTACAACAATGGTTCTGTACAATTTTTATTAAATATAGTCTGTAAACCTAATGTTACAAAGATAAATTGCTAAGAACTCGAGTTTTTTACAAAAGTACGATGTTTCTAACCACTCCTGTATTACTAAAGATATAGCAAAAAATACCTGTGAGAGATGTATTTGCTTATGTTATACTAGCTGTATCTATAGCTACACTCGTGACTCATTGTATTATTTCCATATTTATTACGTATAATTAATTTTCTATTTTAAGTATGAACTTGCCTATCTTTTTGATCCGTAAAGGGTTGAATTCTCATTCCAGTGGTTTGGATTAGAGGCTTTGATAAATTCGTCAGAACATGGAATGTAGACATCACAAGCTGTCCTTTCTGATTTAAATACTAAACCGTTGTAATATTTTTGTATTATATACGTATACTAGAGGAAAATACAAAAAAAATCTAGATCTCGACAATAGCGCCACCGACGGCTTCCATCTATAGCTATGAACAATCCAGATAAAACCCGAAAGCACACAAAAAAAAACCTTAAAATCGGTCAAGCCGTTTACGAGGAGAAGAATTACAAAGACCGGAATTTAATAACATAGGTACAAATTATTGTAAAAAATAGTACAAAAATCTATTGAATCATATTTAACTTACACCGGTATTTTTTGGCCTATAATAGGTAGGTAGGCAAACAAAATACCTGAGTACACATTTTTATGCAATACCACATAGGTATAGTACCAACTGTGTTTCGAACCGTCTTTCGAAGCCGAAGTTCTGTCGAGGATCTCTAAAAGAACTTATCATATTTATCATATTTTTATGGCATTACAAACTTTTCACATACACTGCTCGTAGTTCATTTGAGTAGTGTCTCTCAACCGGTAGCCGTTAAGCGCGGCTAATAACTGTTATGAATGGGATGGGTGTGCGTGATGGACGAGGGTGTCACGATATTGTACTTGGAGCTCGCTGGTTTGAGGAGACTACGAGTACGTACATTTAGTACTTTATGCTTTAGAAAATTTTCTTGATGTTTATAGTTTCAGTATTTTTAACTTATTGTTTTAATCTATACTAATATTATAAAGAGGTAAAGGTTGTGAGTTTGTGACGTTGTAGGGGGTAATCTCTGGATCTACTGAACCGATTTAAATGAAATTTGGTAAGATAGTTGAGATTCTGGAAAGGACATAGGATACTTTTTATCCCGGAAGTTATCACTTAAGGGGGTGAAAGTGGGGATGAAAGTTTGTATAGGGAATCAAGCTAGGGACGAACCCGAGCGAAGCGAGGGCGAGTCGCTAGTGTATTATAATATGAAGGATTGCTCTCAGACACATCTCGTGTGTGCTCAAAGAATTAGTAACTTACTAGTTACTAGTATAGACTTTAACTAGATTTTTCGCTGGTTTGCAAAACGGTGACATAATGAAGTTTTATTTTTTAGCTTTCATGTTTAGCTTAATTGTTAAAAAAAAACATACAAAACCTAAAGCTACAAGACAAAAGAGATTATTCAGAACAACAGTCATTTAATACGAAATCCTGGAATCACTAGCACATAAAATCGAACAAGACAATCGACACACAGGTGATTGATAATCGTTTAGGGGTATATTGCTTTGATGTTAATCCACTCCTTTAGGTACTCCCGCCTTAGAAATCGGAGACCCGTTATAATATATCAACCAACTTCCGACTCTGACCTATCACTTCGATACGACGGAAGCACAACACAAAACCTTTTACCTTTAAATAAAATTTTATACTTTGTAACATATTTTTAGAATATAATAAAAGTCACATAAATAGTGTTAAAATTGTTTGCTCGT